ATTTTAATTAATTTCATGGGTTATTTTCGAAGATTTTTTGATTTTGATAATGGAACACAATTGCGTAGCGCTTTTATTACACTTATGTAAGTTTAACCTTATGTTTTATTTAGCCATTTTCCATTTATATATTTATTCATTTAATTTTTTATTAAGCTTGTAGTTTTTATCTTTCAATTAATAAATGTATTAAAATTAGGAGCGTTTAATTAATATTTCTTCCCCCACATGCAGTTTAGCTCTTCCATTTCCAAGGAAATGGGTCTACACCCAAATAAATAATTTTATTTTCAAACGTCATATAACTGACACTTATATGACGCTCTTACCGGGGTTTAAGTGTCATTTCTATGACACCGTGTTTGAGCGGCGCATAAGTACTACTTATACTCCGCCGGCGTATAAATATGTGAAAATCATAGTGGTTGTCAACCATAGTAACCATATGGTAAGTGAAATCAAAGCAATTCCTTAATGAAGCAAGAAGATAGGAAATAATCATTTCAAAAGAAGATTAATCGTTTGAAAATAAAATATTGTATTTCATTCGGAGTTTAAGTGACTTCATGTGACTCGTATGGACTTAATTCGCCTCGCTATCGCTCGGCGTTTAATCGTCCATACTCGACACATAAAGTACCACTTAAACTCCTAATAAAATAAATATCTATTGGCTCCCGCCGGAAGCTAAAGTACATTTTTGTCAAAAATGACGTTTATAAATTTATAAACTTGCTACTTCTAAAACGTCTGGACGGATACAATTATTATCTGAAGCACTACTTTCATCCAAATCCTCCATTTTTTCCAAAATTAATGCGTTTTAAGGAACACAAAACTACAATTCACGAGACGCTTTGTTCAAATGCGATTAATTTTTTATTTGTTTGAAAATTGTCATAGAAATTATCTAGATAACTTATTTAGTTTATTGCGGTAATAACTAGTTTTTTCATTTAAACTTTTATAAAATTGATTTTAAACGTTCGTTCGAAGAAAAAATTATATATACAGTTGCCGCCAAAAAATTTCAGACGTCAATGTCATTCAGTCGTCAGATAGTGTAAAGCAACCTTTAGATATTTCTAACCTAAATTTTTAACTTCTACATTTGACACTTACATGAATGTAGCTGTAGCGTAAGCTGGAATTTTATTTTGAAAGTTTGACATTCCAGCTGTCCGAAATAATGACAATAAAGCATAGACTACATTAAAATTTTTGACATGACAGAAAAGTGATGTTTGAAATTTTTTATCGGAAACTGTATATCACTTGAGCAAAGTGCCATTTCCTCCTCTGAATCCGCGGGAGGAAATGTTTCACTTTGCTCCCTTGATATATAAATAACTATTGTTAGTGTCCAAATGCACGGCCGAGGTCAAAAACAATTTGGGCACGACAATAAATTAAATATCTGCAATGCCAACAAAATTGTTTTAAAATAAATTCCATGGGCTACTAGAGGACATTTTTTTTTCGATCATGTGGTACTTAAAAGAAGTCATTTCGACTGTACAAACATGCTCCATCATTCGATATTTATGGATAGTTTTAAAATTACCTTGTGCTCAAAAATGTTACCATTTCTTAAAACTTATTAACTTTAAAAGAATGAAAGTCAAGATTCACGATTATATGATATCGTGGCGGTAGAATAAGAGGAGAGAAGAGAGATAAATAAGATCACATACAAACTCTAAAAACGGGTCTTTAGTGTCTCTTGGGCCTAAATGGCTCTTCCAGTTCCTTCAAAAAAGAAGTTGTTCGAGTACCAGTGTTCAAAAGTGTAGTGGGCCTAAGCAAAGAATATTAACAATTCTGTACCTACCTGGGAGCTAAAGACACTAAAGCCCAATTTGAAGCAAATTGAGATATTAGCGTGAAATAAATAATGTCTATGAGTGAAAATTTTATCAGTAAAAGTCACAATAGTAAAAAAAAGTCATTGGATTGAATAAACTTAAGTCCATTTTTGTATTAGTGTTAGTTTGTTAGCTAAATTGTAGTAGAGCAGCTTTCAACACAAAAAGGTACAGGGGCGGGGCTTAAGATGCGCGACTTGTAGTCGGGCTAGCAGTGGCGCAACATCGATGTATTGAGAAGGGAGTTTCGGCTGAGTTACATTTCTTTCAAAAACAATTAAAAATAGAGCAATTTCCACAAAAGAATACAGACAACCATTTAATAAAAATAAATTTATTTGTTTGGTAAAAAAATAGACTTACGTAACAATAAATTATGATAATCTATCACACAAAATTTGGTATTTTTAATTATTAAACGAGTTTATAATGTGAGGGATTATAGCATGAGTAAAAAATTTCACGAATCCCTCATTATAAACCAGTATCATATACTATTTTATAGTCGACTAGTCTTAAAGCAACAGTTAAATCTTTAGATAAAAGCGGGCTTAAAACTCTGAGAATAAGCAACCTATGACTATAATTATATGGTTTTTAATTTTCTGGCACAATTTATCGATACCGTAAAGTCGGATTATAATAAGGCGTAACGTTTTCTGTCTTTAACATTGAAGTATCGACTGTACCGTAATTTAACAGTAATTATTGCTCACTAAAAATTACCTTTTTACTTCTTTTACTTACTTTTTTATTCAACTCATACATCAAATACAGCACTAATAATTGTTTAAATTCTTTTTCTATAATGTCAACGCTAATAAAATAGAAAAGTGATATTTTTATTAACCGCAATAATATTTTAATATTTCAAAATCGAAATATTCATCGCCGCTGCCACTGCTTGCACGATATTTGTAAGGCCAAACCAAAACAATGTTCTGCGCACTCCCACCACCTGTACCCTTTTGTGTTGAAAGCTGCTCTATGTTCTTTTAATACGACATTTGTTTCTAAATATTCAAATTGTAAATCATAAGTTTAAAAATAGTAACAATTTATGATTAAACGATTATTATTACCTTACAAATATTGATTAATCTTTTCCAAAAGAGTTATATGTATTTCTTTCATGTGAAAAAAAAAATAATTACTTAGTGTGAATACTCTAAATGTATGGATTTTGGACTTACGACTACTTATTCAGCTCTCAGGTACAGAATTATTGTTAATATTCTTTGGTATAATATACACACATAATTTAAAAATATAAACGTAGTAGCAGTAATTTACTTGAGCTTTTATGTTGCAATAAATACCGAGTGACTATTAATGACTGAGGCAAATTTTTGGGTTGGAAATTCTGGATTATTGGCATCCATGCTAGTATGTCAGTTTACAGTTGTCAATTTTGACGTGAGCACGCCTAATAAACAAACATGTTGTCATAAATGTGACTTTGACAATCAGGCATACCATTGTAAAATTTTGAATCGGTAGGTAGCCAAACTGACAAAAAAACGAAGTCACTCGGTATTTTTGCCTTTACTCCATAATTAAGCAAATAGCAAGACGTTTTTACTAGCTATAAACGTATTTGAGAACAAACCGCACCACCTTTGCCATTTCTATTGAAACACCACCTGTTGATTTTGCTTAAAATTCAGCAATTGGTAACAGCTTTCGGTTGATTGACAACGGCTTTTAGTTAGAAAATTGTCTGAATACGAACGTTGCCAAATTTACGATTAACAAGTGGTGTTTCAATCGAAATGCCAAAGACTATATGAGATTTGTTTTTGCAGCTGACTGCTATTTATTATCTATGAAGTTATATTGTTAATTCGTTTTCTATCACTCAAGCTTTCCGAAACTTAATTTTTTCTCAAATAGTACAAGAATAAAAAATGTTGTAACGGGTGAAGTACATAATCGTAATAGCAATTGGCTATGTTTTAGAAAACGTTTTTTTAAACTATTTCTCTCTGGTTGTCAAAAAGTTTAACTTGAACTTCCGTGGTCGAGACTTTGGCAACAACTCAATGACTTTTCACACAATCCATCAAGAATACGCCACGCATGGACTCTAAATTTTGTTTCCAGAACCTTCTGCGAACACGAATTATGTTATTCACCCATTAATAAATATCGATATTTCAAAAACCAAACGCAGTACAGTAGGTATTTAAAAGTGTAACTGCGTTATGCCGATAATAATAAGACAAAAAAATTGTTTGCGTTGTATTAAATTAAAATCTTTTTAATTTCAGTTCTAAATCAAATTTTTTGCAGACGATATTTGACTTTCATCATTTTGTATAATATCTAACAAGTATAATAAATTTAGGGCAGTAACGAAAAATGTTTAGCCTCGAGTAGGATTCTTGAACTCATGTTCTCTCGCTTGCTAGACGAGTGCTCTTCCAAGTGAGCTATTGGGTCACACCATGGAGGTAGAATGAGAGGAGGAAGAGAGTTTGAAAACGTGACTGATATCACGGTTTCGGATAGGGTCATAAATGGATTTTCCAGCTTCTCCGAGAAACCGATTGTTCTTTTGTTTGCTAGAAAGCGTTTACCGGGTACTGGGCATAAAATGCAAAAATAATAATTTATTAAGATAAAATATAAAAGTCGTAGCAGTAAAATTTACTTGAGTTTTTATGTTGTTAGAAATATCTTACTTTTTAAGCCATAATTAAACAAATAGTAAGACATTGTTACTCGCTGTGAACCTATTTTAAACCAAACAGTACCGCCTCTGATCCTCTGCTGACAACTAACTGCTCTTGACGTGGTACGGAAAAAGTCAAAAATGGCTCTTGCGTGAAGCTGTTTTGGCGACGTTTCTTTAACATTGGTCAAATGAGGGATGCTCCCTCTTGTCATCCTATCTCCATGGATCATACTCATCTTTCTTCATTTCCATCACTTATGTAGTTTAACCCCACAAGTTAGAATCATTTTAGGTTTTTTTTTTCATGTTTTAGAAGATATAATAAAAGAAAAATAAAATAACTGCACTTGGTGAAATCATCAGTATTGAATTTGTAGATACAAATATACATATAAGTACCAAAAATGTTTATTATAGAACAAAACCGACCAAAAATATTGTTGGAATTGAAAGCCTGATTTTTCAATATGTATAGTTTATTTTTTGTATTATGTAAATAAATGTATGTCTTATATTACATAAAAGTTATTATTATTATGGCCATTAATTCATTACTATTACTGTCGCTGCATCCTCGAATATTCTTCAGCCTGTAGTTTTCCCAACATAGTCCGTTTATCTCTCATTCTGTACACGACCGACTCTCACATTTTCGAATGTTACAGATTTTAATCATTTACACTTCATTTGAATTTTATAAAACAGGTTTTAAATCACACTTTTCTTATTATAAAAATTTATTAATTGTAAATAATCGTCTTTTAAAATGATACAAACGAATTAAAAATAAAATTTTAACGCGTGTATATGTTACAGTGAAAGTTGGAAATGCAGTGAATTCATTAGTCAAAAGTTCTCAGAAAATGCTAGCATTCCCAGTGATTGTTGGCATTCATTGGTTTCCAGCATTCACTGTAACATACAATATATAATATATATTTGATAAAACTATTAATAATAAAGTACGAGCTGTCTCAAATAAATCGTAAAATAATAAGTGTAATCTCAGAATTAACAGACTTGATAAAAGTACAAAAACTTAAAGTTTATAAATATCTAAAATATGAACTATAAGTTTGTGTGTGAAAAGGCAGTACTCTATAGTGTATATAAACCGTTATCCTAACATACACGTTATATATGTATAATATACTTAATTATTACTAAGAATCGAATTTCGTTTTAGCAAAATGAATTATTTTAACAAATAATAAAACAGGACGAAAAGATGATATGATGATAGTCGCTAATGCAATACCTTTTACCGACTTAAAATTAAACATGTAAATGCATATTTGCGGGCGAAAACCTAAAGTCTAATTTATCACAACAGTTTAATTATTCAACAGTCACACTCTTAGCCAGATTTCTTGGACAATCGACATTGCATCCTCTCAATACGGCTATATGGAAACTAAGAAGTTGCATGGGAATGACAGTTAAAATACCCTGCAAACAATCTACAGTTCGTGGAATTTCCAAACATCTGTGGCCATATGCTTTCGTTTCATCGTCATTTTCCTCGCATATAATGACCGGTCTTCCTTGTCGCGCAGTTACCTGGTAAAAATTAAATAAACAAACATTTTTTAAACAAATGAAAATTTACTTGTTGAAGAGCATTCACGCATTTGGTGTACACAGGATCGCGCATAATAATCATCATAACAGGCATGTCTTCATCCACTAGTGCAAGAGGGCCGTGTTTCAGCTCACCAGCCATAATACCCTCGCTATGCATATAAGTTAACTCTTTTACTTTCTGCAACGAAAAAGAACAAAACATGAAATTAAAAAAAAAAAAAAATGATTTTAGGATTTTACCAAAGCTCCTTCCAAACAGGTAGCGAAATTAAAGCCCCTACCCATTATAAGCAGAGACTTCTTGTTGTAAAGGTCTTGAGCAAGTTCTTTGACCTTATCGTCTAGCTGCAATACTGCACGGATTTGTTGTTGTAAATTTTTAAGACCTTCGATAATCTACAAAAATGCAAATTAAGAAGTGTTGCGCTAGTTTTAAGGGAATCCTAAACCTCTTCTCTTCTGCCAGCTAAAGACAGCCTATCTTCACTCATAACCAATGCAAACATGACCAGAGATATAAATTGACTGGTGTAAGCCTTTGTTGATGCTACACCAATTTCAGGTCCTGCATTAATATGGACACCACAATGGGATTCTCGGCAAATCGAACTTCCGACAGTGTTGGTAATACCAATGATTAGGGCTCCTCTTTGTTTGCAATATCGGAGTGCCATTAAAGTATCAGCAGTCTCGCCTATTAAATATTCATTACAAAATTAAATGATGTAGGAACCAATTACTCTTGTTTCGATATGCAAAAGCTACGCTGATTTATACGAGACATGAAAATACACCCAGGAACTTTCCACAACTTGTACAAAAATTATTATATATAAATAAAAAATACAATAAGATTTTGTATTGTATTAAAATTGCGCCATTAAGTACAAATTAATATAAATATTTTATTTTGTATCACACTATTTAAAGTTGCGGTACAATTACACTATAGTAAATCATACATAATAATGTGTAATAAATTTTAATGAAAAGACTATAAAATCAATAAATATATAATCTCAAACTGCAGGGAATGTTTGATGTTACTTTTCATACCAAGTAAGAAACTGTGAAAACCAAGGCTACACTTTTTGATAAGTCCACCTTCCTCCATTCCACCTTAGGTCTTCTCATATACTGCAGAACTACACCGACCTACCCTTGGTCCACTAGCTGGTCTGCGTTTACAGCTTAACGACTAAACTTACTTAGGTCGAATTTAATGTTTAGCTCGTTGTAAACACACCCATAATAAAATTATTACTACTAAAATGTACGAGCAAAGCGCGGAGTTCTGAGAAGTATACCGAGATAACGCGGATGCTTTTTTGGGTGATAACATAAGAAAGTAGAGTAATAAAATTCTCTGTTATTTATAAGTGTCTTGAAAAACCTAATCAAACCAAACCAGCGAAAACTTCTGAATGGTTTATTTTACACATCTCGTTTCTCAACAACCCTGCTCCGCGACCACATTATATTTTTATGATCCCTTCTATTTTTACCATTTTTATGGATTTTCTACATCGATTTACGAAAGTTTTCGAAGGTTTTTATGCTATACATCATTAATGGCTTGACTGTCTTATTTACTGGGTTGTAGTTTCCTTAGAGCCACACAAATTGTGGAAAAAACTTGATACAGAATGTAACAATTGATATGGTACTACTAAAAGATTTAACTTTTAATCCCAAAATTCGGAATACAAGTATGTAAAAACATTTAAAAACATTATTTTCAACGAAATCGGAAATAAGGAATTGTTAACATCATAGAAGAAATGTTCGCAAAAGAAAGTGCACATTTTAATTTTAAAATATTTAATCAAATACGACGAGTTTTAATGATGTATGCTGTAGAAGGAAATATTAACATTAACCTTTCAAGATCAGTTGCTTTTTTGGAGATCATTTTGATAGGTAGTGAGAATTTTAAGAATGGGGAAAAAAGGCAAAAAAATTGCAAAACTGGTCTCTGTACCAAAGGGATACGCGGAAAAATAAGATATCTTTTTAGGAATTGTTGACCTTAAGTATAATGAAGCATCAAATTATGCTAATTTTTAAATGTGCACTTTCTTTCGCGAACACTCCTTATATATTAAAAAATGTGAACTCTTATTCCCTTTTGAACATTTAATGAAAGTAAAAAAAAAAGCATAGCCTGGACTGCGACCATCTAGTGTATGAAAAACATATTTTTTCTGGTAAAATTCTCGTTTGTTATTCCCCTAAATTCGTGTTTGTATGGAAATTAATCACATATCTACATGAATTTGTTTTTTACATGTATCATTGTATTTTTCATAGCAATCACTGAACACTAATTTTTGTCGATATTTCAGTTTGTACCATGAAACGTGTGTTAATGTATGAACAAAAAATCTGACAAAATAGTGTAAATGAACCTGGGACCTAAATTACGAAACAAAATAAAACTTCAATTTAGCTTGAAAACCAAACGTGCACTGCTTAACTTAAAAGGGGAAGCAAGTATGGAAATGATGTCCCAAAATTTTTTTTTTTTTTCACTTTTTCGATTCATCGTAAACTTATTTTCTTATAACTTTTCGTACACAACAGTACTGCTTCTACAGTATGCTTGTTTAACAATAAAGTGGATACATCGCCTCCAAAGTTGACGCATAACCAGTATATAACAAATCTTTCAAAGTGAACAAATACAATTAACACTGATTTTTGAAACAAAAAACTGGCATGCATATCGATCCAGTACCCTCTGGCAATGTGCCAACGTAATTGTTTACCTGATTGAGAAATGAAGAAGCAAACATCATCTCTGAAGACGGGTGTTGTACGGTCCAAAAAGTCGCTGGCCAGTTCTACCATAACAGGCAACTCTGTTAATTCTTCAAGAAGCTGCCGAGTGGCGATGGCACTATGGTAACTTGTACCACATCCAATCAACATTAACCTTCTGCAACGTTTAATTTCTGGAATGTAGTCTTTGATGCCACCCAAAGTAACAGTCTAAACACCAAAACAAATATAAATTTAATTCAATACATCAAAAAATAACTCGTCTACGTATAATTTTAATACTGCAACTCACTTTTGTTTCGAAATTAACGCGTCCTCTCATGGTGTTGATAACTGACTCGGGTTGTTCAAAAATTTCCTTTTGCATGAAATAATCATAGTTTCCTTTCATGATTTGCTGCAACTCCATTTTAAGAGTATGAATTTCGCGAGAGTGGGGGTCATCATACAGGCGTCTGAGTCTGTGGATACTAAGAGCACCATTTTTAATAGCAGCCACATCGTCGTCCTGTGAATTTTAAATTTTACATGAAGTAATGGTAATGTTGGAAGGAAACGTCTTACTTCAAAATAGATCACCCTGTTGGTATGTTCAATGATCGCCGATGCGTCGGAAGCAAAGAAATATTCAACTTGTTTGTCTTCCAATGGTTCAAATTCTGAAGTGGATTCTGATCTCGGGAGAACAGGATAATCGGCACGTCCATGTGGTCTGTGTTCTACAAAACGTTTATTAGTAAAACGTCCTTTATGTTCTCCTTATCAGGTATTATTAGAATTTTGAAAATCTTTCATGCATTGTTGAATTAATTGAAAAAGTAAGTTATGTTATATTTTCTTTTAATACCTCGGTACTGAACCCTTCTACAATTTATTTACAGAAAAAGTGTCATTGCTAAAGAGTCCAGTTTAAAGTAAAAGTAAATCTGCGTTGCACCAACACCTTAGATAGGACATTGCACTTCATAAAACACAATAAAACAAGAGAGTTAATACGTTACGTAACAATTACTTACCGCTGGAACTTACTTTGTAAAAACCGTCACCTTGTAGACCAAAGCATTTTAACATCTAGTGGGAATAAGCAAAAAGCTTTATAGATATCAAAATTAAAACAACACAACAAAGGTACTACCTGAATTGGTATCAGCATCTGCATGGATTCCAAGATTGAGGAAACAAGCGGAAAAACAAATTAAATAAATGAAAAACAAACGAAATAATTAATAGACATGAAACCACAATATAATTAAGAATCAAATATGAATTGGTGAATCGAGTTAAATAAAAAAATACAACAAATATAAAATTTTACTTAATTATATTTTGGTTTTATTCATATTTAACAAACTATTAAATTAAATTAAAACAGACAAAAACAAAAGAATGTAGAAACTAAAAGAGACTACATAAATACTCAGGCCTAGTTAAAGATTAAACAAAATTACTTATATCCTTAACCAAAAATAAATACCATCAAATTTTAAAAAGTACCCAATGAAGTCAAACAAACCCAAATATTAAATATACATAGAACACAAAAAATTTCGATCAATTTTTAAAAACGATTTAAAGTTAACATAAACGTTAAATGTAGAACGCTCGGCAAACGGATAACATCTGATAACGTAAATCAAAGTGATTAAAAAGTCTGAACATATTCGTAGATTAGAACAAAATGGATTATATCACCAATATATCAACTGTCTATGGATATATTATAGCCGATTCTTCTACATTTAAAAATAAACACCACTATTTACATTTAAAACCAGCCCTGAGTAGAACCTAGGAAGCAGTTAATTAAGGAGAATTTTCTATACCTGTAGGTGTTTGGGGATCATCATCTATAGAGCCAACGTCCATAGGAAGGAACAAAGAATGGGCAAACAACAAAATTAATAAAATGTTAAAAAATCAAACAACATTGCACTAAAAATCCATATACAATCTTATGTTCAAATAGTTAGTAATGGTTAGTAAACAGGAACTTTGCATATTAAAATACATTTATAAAAGCAGGCAAACTCAACTCCATATGTAATGTATCAAAATGAAAGTTCAGAAAATAGATAATGTTTAGCTTGGAAAATGATAATGAGTCAATATAATAATATAATACTCGGGAAGAAAAAATGAAAACGCCGTGACATTTTGATTAATAAAAAAATCCTTTTGAATAATTATGCAAAATAATACTCCTATATTTACAATTAAATGACAATTATACAAAAATGCAACGTTTACTGGCTGTGAAACAACTGTTTAAATAAGAGGTATTTCCGCATTTGCTTTTGAGTTTTATGATGATAAATAATCGTATGAAATATGACTTGCGACACACGTTATAGTACAACAGGGTAGTCTCATGAAGAAAAAATATGTTAATTTTTCAATAGACTACAATAGTTCTAACTGAACCAAACCAAAAATATTTTAGAAATGAAGTTCCGTAGTTATTTGATAAATTACTGTTGATTTTGTACATTATTAGCAGAAAGCGTGCGCATGCAAAATATTTCAGGCAATACTATTTTCGAAACAGTGAACTTCTCAACTTCCGTTAAAGGTGCGTCCAAATATTGTAGAAAAAAGTTGAAAATTCAGAGATGGACTTTAGCATATCAACTATATTTTAGGAATAAATTCGAATCATTTATACTATATTATTATCTAATCTACTCTTTTGTCTGAATCACGGCGGTATTCTGAATATTGTTAAAGTTAGGTCAATAGTTTAAAAAGTTTTCATGCCAACAAACAAACTTAAACGTGCATTACAAACTACATAAAATAATATCAAATCAACTTTCTGACCAACATAAAGTAATTTCTTATAAGGCTACATTTGCAAAAGAAAATTAGTACTTGTTGACGTTAAAACATGCGCCTTTTTATGTCAGTATTTTAAACCAGGAAAAATTAGGTTTTGTGAAATTTGTTTCAGCTTACAGACTGCACACTTACTTTACTTTAATAAACTAATAAACAGTTTAACTTTTACTGATGTTTTACATCGAATAAGAATGTCAATGTTTTAAATTAAATCCATAGATTAGAGTTTGTGTAGAATGTATTAACAAAGTGTGACTTAGTGAGATGGTCAACTTATATCAAAAACTAGGTATAATTTTATGTGCTTTTAAATCTAACGTTTTTCTCCACTTAATTTTTTAACTATTTTAGCCCGTTCGAAAAACCAATTGCCATTAACCAAAGTTGCAGCTAAATTATCAATTCAATACTTTTCTGCCGCACTGTACATCATTAAACATGAATTATTGCAGTAAACAAACAAAGTATTGAAGGTTCACTTTTCAACAAAAGTATTATTGTCACAGCAGTTCAAAGATCTCTATACAAAAGGCGAATTTACAGCTGATACTTTTGCGTAATACCTAAAATTTCTACTGTCATGCATGCATAACTATACAAAGCAAGGTTTGTCCTTATTAATTTCTTTCGGTGCTAATCAAATAGAAAAGAAATATGTGCAATCGTTATCAAATTATTCAGCTTAGTTTTCTGATCTACTCACCCTTTCCATATAAAATCGGAATGTGATCTGTGGCTAATCTCGTTTTGGTTTTAATACCCACTAGCAATGGTGAGCCACGCCGGGTAGCTACACATTCACCAGGAAAATGTTTCGATTTGAAACATAAGGCAAAAGCACCCTCCTACCACAACAAAAATAACAATGATGAATGGTTCCATTTCGCAGTAATGAAAAGTATTACCAATTGCTGAACAACGTTTTCAACAAGTTCTCTAAACGAGTAATTGGGGTGTTGTTCATAAAAATGATGAATAAGCTTAGCAATAATTTCAGTATCCGTGTCGCTCTCGAATTTGTAACCCTTATTTTGAAGGAATACTTTCACTTCCTTGTAGTTGGTTATGATACCGTTATGTACAACAACAAAACTGTGAGCATAATCGGAGCGTTGAGGGTGGGAATTCACTTCACTTGGAACACCATGCGTTGCCCAACGCGTGTGAGCAATACCACAGTGGATGTCCTCGATTCTGTCCATATCCAGTTCCTTTGACCCTGTATCAAAAATTAGAATATTTCAATTATGCAAAAATGTATACTTACTGTTTTCAATTTCTTCTTCCAACAATGCAACTTTTCCGGTTTTCTTAATAAGAGCCATGTCTTTGGAACAGGCAGAGTCGATTGCCACACCTTGGAAATTATACAATTAATGAATAAATATCGTTCAAAATAATATCCAAAAAAATTACCGGCAGAATCATATCCTCTATATTCCAGTCGCTTTAGTCCATTAACCAGTGTCTTTAAGATTTCACCTCTCTTTTTTGGGGTGAGAAAATTCAAATAGGCAAAAATTCCTGAAATAAATTTCACGAATTAGACTTATAGAAAATTAGAAAGCCGTAATTTTGTTTTTTATAGAAAAGCTTTAATTATATCAGTTTTAATATAATTCGGATTCGTGTCTTATAGATAAAAAGTTACAAAAACGTTAATCATTAAAAGCAAAGGAAAGTAGTTTACATGGCTAAAGAGTTTTAGAACATACATGATTTTTAAAAGCTTTCAAAAATTCATAAAATACAACCGCCAACAAAATATGTTTTAATTGGTATTATAGAACTAAAATTACAGACTTTTAAAGGAGCAGATTTCAAACAAGATTTTTTAACAATATTTTAAAATGACGTAATCAAATTTTTCTGAAGAATCTTAAAATAATGGGTATGCTTATTCTGGAGAGTACTGTCTAACAATTTGATGAAAACTTGCACTTTCGTATTTTACAAGCTGTGAAACCGCAGGAAGAAACGAAACAAGTCAAAATGATCTCCTACAATACAAGACGTTAATTTTGAGATTTGTTGGAAAAGATGTCAACATAAAAACTTCGCCGTAACATTTTAATAAATAAAAAAAAAATTCAAACCTGTCTCACAGTTTTGTCAATTTTACTTACTTCAATCATTTAAAATTTATTGGTCATAATGTGTTCAGGAAAAAACTAGTTACTATACACTACTATTTTTACATAGTGTTAATCTTAATTATTGTATTAATTTTTTTTTACTAAATGTATAATTTTAGTAATATTTTGAATGCAGGTAGCGGGATAAAATGTTATGGTTTTTGGACTTTAATTGTGTAATGTACAAATTGAATTTCATAAATAATGTAGTCTGGTTTTTACAAGACTTTATTCTTTCTACAAAATACATAATATTTAATACTGAAAAATACTTCTTCTCTGTGCAGTGATCGTTAACCGATTGCGAGATTTATTGTGTGTAATAATATGCTGCAGAGAAAGTTAATTTTTCAGGTTCAAATATCTTACGGAAGTGTTCGCTAGTAACATAGATTATTCCACAGAATTGGATACATTGGTATCTAGCTGTTATGATGTTTTTAATTTCCTAAAACCCTCCTTGTAAAAATAGATACATTAATACATAAATAATAGGTCCGTTCTACGTAATATGCATACTTATACAATTTCATCTATTAGATATCTGTTGTGTGGTTATAATTTGGTATAAAAAAAGTGTCTACAGTTTATTGTTTCTCGGCGCCAGCTAACGTTCTCGCATAAGTTTAGGTGAAAGTGAAACCACAAGATTTACATCAAAAATTGAACACCCAATCAACCTAACTAGTTTATTGTTCTTTAACAGACTGCTAATGTAGTCATAATTCAAAAATGTTATTTTCTGTAATCAGAAGTGAAGTAATTTCCTGTGCGATTTTGTTACCGTCAAGTACAACCGTGAAATGAAGTATATTTTCATGCTTTGTACTTAATTTCTATCAATTTCAGAAAAAAATTCACCATAAAAAATAAACTTTAGCAGAACTTAAGTTTTTATGTTTTGAATCGAATATTTTTTATCCTGAGATAATTATAAAATTATTTTAACTTAAATATTTCGCTTGAGACTCATAAATGGATGTTTGATTATATGCTCATTTATAAAGTGCTGTCATATGTTATTGACTGTTCCAGTACTCTTCATGTTTTATTCCATGTTCCAAATCATTGTGGTTTTGAGTATAATTCCATAGGACCTCGTATGGTTTCAATTCTACCCATCGTCGGTTATGCAAATTAATTTATTTGCACAAAGAATCACATTTTGTGGGGATATTTACCAGAATAGTTCAATTAATTTTTTGATCCGCAATCAGTAAACATCACTACTATTATTATTACTTTATTATAACATAAAATTTTTAAAATCTTCCAGGAAATTACACGTACCAAATACAAAAAAATGTGTTCTAAAAAAACGCTGTGGCTTCAAATTTGCATAAAATGTAAAAAATTTCAACTTTAAACTTAATAGAAACAAGAAAATGTCACTTTTAAAACGAAAAATTAATTCAGAATTAAAGTAACTCTACTTAGTTTACCTGATTACAAAATGGGTTACTCACTTATCTTAATGGTTTTAAACAATATGACTTTACAATTGTTTATCGTAAAAATCAGTGATTTGCTGTCATACATCAACATTAACAGATATTATGAAATGTCGTAATACGTAATTTACCAAAGGTGCAATTTTTCATTTTTGAATAGCATGAACTTTAGAGGACAAGTACTTGCAAGTAATGATCTTATCATGGATTAAATCATAAAAATCACAAGAAATATAACGAAATTAAATAAACATCACTTTCTGTAGAATGCATTTATTTAAACCATTATTTTTTGCTCATTGATATAAAAAATATTGTAATTTGTTGCACTTGTAAATCATTATATACGAGTACTTATATTACTATTTAACTGAAGTAATGTTTCGTAAGAGTATTTGCGTTTTTTATCAAGTAAAAAAATATAAAACGGAAAATTTTCCGTGTTGCATTATCTATCTCATTATGACGTAGTCATTCCAAAAATTCATTACTCCACAAATCTGATTTTGAAATTTTTGGTACTTTATTTTACTGATAAATCACTATTGTTATTTCCACACATTCGCACTCATCTAATCTATCACAATCTAATCTTAAAAAGCAAATTGTAATAAATTGTGCAAACAAAAATACGTTTGATAATAATAAGATGCAGATATGGTATCAGTTATCTCGAACCCCATGCATTTAAAATATTTTAAAAATAATTAAATCGTCATCTCTGTGCATAAAATAAAAAATAAAACACTTAAATACATATTTTGAAAAGTTTTAATAGTGCTTTTCAGAAATCTCCATTGACTTTATTCTTGAAATTTTTGAGGTGTTTATACAAACGACAAGTTGCGGTTCTTTGACAACAATCATATATAGCTCAAAGATATTACTATTTTAGTTGGTTGATATCGGAGAAATGTTATTTTTAGAACCATCGTCTCATCCTTTCTTAAATATGTGGCACTTCAAGTAAAACCCTTCAGAAACAAAGAACAGAAAACGAAAAATAAAAAAAGTCGGGTGATACATATGTAGTTTAACGTTTTTTACTAACCACACTTTATCTAAGTCATCATATCCTAGAATATACTTTGATTTCTAAATATACAAAATTTCAATAGTTTTAAAATTTTAAATATACTTTTAACATACAGCCTATTTAATATAACATGCTTAATAAAGAATATCCAGATGTTCCGAAATTCAACAGTTTAAATTTATGTTAGGAATGCCTTTAGTTCCCCTAGTGGCAGAGGGGTTCAGCAGGGATTTTGACCTGAATTACCAACCCTGGCGAGAGTGTATGACGAAGGAGAGCCGAGCACAGCCGAACGAGTGCGTCTGCGCGGTGAAACAGTGATCAGTGTTGGTGAAGGCAGCCATTATCGTGTACATAAAAACCGAACAATAAAGCGGTTGAAACAAGTGGTAGTTTACCCTTATGTAAATCCCTCATCATTACACTAGAAGTGGGATTCATCTACAATGGCGGAAGGATCCCCAGCATCACGTACCTCGGTGGAGGAACCAACCGAACCACCGGCGTCGGCCGACGATGCTACGGTACATGGAACTGTATCCTTTACCGGACATACAAGATCAAATCAACACATTTTGCCATGCGAAATATTTCACGATTTTGGACATGAAGTCTGGGTTCTACCAGATGGAAATAGAAGGAGTTAAACACGTGACGGATTTCATTATGCCTGATGGGCATTACGAATTCAACAGAATGCCTTTTGGATACGTCAACGCTCCGACGATGTACCAACGCGCTATGGACAAAGCTTTGGGTGATATAAAAGGTACAAAAGCGGTTGTCTACTTGGATGATATCATGGTACCTTCAACCACAATTGAACAAGGGATGACGAATATAGAATTGTTGAGTGCTCTCGCTGAGGGTGGTTTTTCCTTAAAGTACAAAAAGTGTACGTTCGTCGTAACGGACACAAGAGTACTTGGGCGTCGTCGTAAGTGAAGGGTCGATCCGCCCGAGTCCTCGAAAGGTGATGGCACTGACTCAAACTCCGGCGCCTTCGGACTTAAAAGGTGTCCCGCAGTTTATGGGACTTGCCAGTTATTTCCGCCGGTTCATAAAAGATTTCGCGACGTTACCCGATCCAATAACGGCGTCACTGCGTAAAAATCAGACGTTTGAGTGGACAATGCAATGTGAAAGTGCACGCCAAATGGTAATCGCAAAATTGTCGAGCTCTCCAATTTTGAGGATTTACAACCCAGAGCTAGAGTGTCAACTACACACAGATGCAAGCTCGATGGGAAGTGCAACACTTCTTCAGGAAGAAAATGGTGTCGTGCGTACTTTAGCCGCAGAACTACAGACTGTGAATCAATCATACGATTTGGAAACCTTGGCGATTGTGGAAGCTGTGGAACATTTTCGCGTTTATTTGTACGGCAGACATTTTACAGCGCTAAAAAGAAACTTACACCCACGCGTGGCTCGCTGGTGGATCAAATTACAAGATTACGATTTTTCCGTGGAATATCGGCCGGGCCAGAAAATGGCTCATGGGGATTATTTGAGTCGAAATCCCTTTGACTTGAAAGCAACTTGAAAGTGCGTGTGTTGAAGACGTTAAATGCTACCAAAGTGTCGGAAGTGCAAACCATGAAAGAATTCCAACAAAATAATGCTTTTTATCGTAGTATTCTGGACAATTAAAGCAGTGACTCTAATTACAAAGTGATTAACGACATTGTGGTGACCAACTCCGTAAAACCAAAGTGTTTTGTGCCTGTTGCCACCCGTTTATTGGCTATGCAATGTTACCATGATAAGTCTTCACACATTGGATGGACCAAATGCATTGAGGAGCTGCGCGAAGATTTGTTTTGGTCAAAAATGAGCCAGTGTTTGAAAAAGTACATCCGAAACTGAGCATCTTGTGTTCTTGGGAAATCACACACACGCTCTAGAGTTGGATTATAGCAGCATGGTACACAGCCGACAGATATTTTAGAGACTTGGAGTGAGATTTTGTTTCTACCGATACGATACGAAGCGATAAATGACAAGGACGAAAATATAAATTTCAGATGCGACAAAAACAGATGACCACACTTTATCGGTACCGATATTTTATCGATATAAAAACAAAATCCCACCCCTGGCACATCGACCATTCTGGACCTTTAGTTATATCGCAAGGATGCACTCAAACTCTTATGATAATAGATGCTTTTTCAAAGTATTGCCGTCTCCATCCAATACCGAAGAAAACGACTGATGATTCAATTTGTGCACTAACAGTAGTGTTCGCAGAATTAAGGTAACCAAAGCGAATTATAGCAGACCGAGCTGCTGCCTTTACGTCTATAAGTTTCCGGAATTTCTTAAGCGAACAAGGTGTTGAACTTTATCACATCGCTACTGGAGTTCCGCGAGGAAATGCCAAAGTGGAGCGCCTCATGCGAACTGTTTTCAACATCTTACGTGCAACGTTAACACCAGAAAAGGAAAAGAAGTGGCCAACTGCAGTTGCTGCTGTTGAGGATGATCTAAGTGTGACTGTCCACACTACGACTGGTCCCGTGCCAGCAGTCTTACAATTGGGACTAAACCCACGACTTGCTGCTACTCGAGAATTTTTGGGTGATGCACCACTAGATGACAATTTTGTCGATCCCCAAATGGCCGTCAAGGAAGCCCGTGTTCGAGTGAGTAGAGCAGCACAGGACCAAGCACGATGATTCAACGCGTCACGTTTTCGTGCAGACTTGTTTCAAGAAAACGGTGTCGTACCAGTAGAAGAATCGCAATTGGCTGGAGGAGGAAAACTCAAGGCAAAGTTCAAAAGGTATTATACTGTTTGGAAGGTCTTGCCCAACGAACGATATGCGTTGGTAAAGAAGGGGCATCGATCGCCGCCCATGAGCACCTGAGACCTTGGCCCTGAACGGAGCACCAGGTGTAAAATAACAGGTATGAAATGTTGCAACAATTGTCAAATGTATTGCGGACATTTTTGAGAATTGAAGTGCTTATGTACTGAGAACTTAGGTGAAAAATAAGAGATCGGGACTAGAGCTTGGGATCTGGGATCGGGAACTTCTGGTCCTGAATTTCAGTTGTTAGGCACTCAAAATAGAAAGAAAGAATGGAGATTTAAGCTAGAGTCCGGGACTCGAATGAGGGATCCAAAGTCAGAGATCCGTGATCAAGGACCCACAGAGGTCAGGGATCTGAGATCAGAGGCTAGAGGTCAGGGATTGAAAGTTGGGGATTCACAGAGCAAATTTTCAAAAGTTTTAACATTCGAAATAGTAGAACACAAAGAAAAAGGAGGAGGACGCTCCGATCGCAGGATGGCCGTGCTAAGAATGCCTTTAGTTCCCCTAGTGACAGAAGGGGTTCAGAAGGCGTTTTGACCTGAATCACCAACACTGGCGAGAGTGTATGACGCAGGACAGCCGAACGAGTGCGTCTGCGCGATGGAACAGTGGTCATAGTGTTGGTGAAGGCAGGCAGCCATTATCGTGTATGGTTGTGGACAGTGAATTTCATCCACTTAATTTCTTTGACAAAAAAACTCTAAATTAGCCCTTACATCTTTCTAACCTTTTTTTTGTCATTTTGACATAAAGGGGCAACCTAGAGAAGTTGAAAAAGTAGAATAAAACAGGTACGACACGGGCTAAATTTAGTAACTAAATTTTCTATGAAATATCTGCAAATTTTCGCTTTAAATAACTCCTAGCAAACATGCACTACTCCAACGAAGCTAATTATTATCTGCGTAATTAAGCCTGCTACCTGCTTCTCAGGTTAGAAATCAATCCAAGATCAAACAGAAAACAACTTTATTACATGCAGCACAAGTAGGTAACAGAATACAAGAGTCAAAATATTCTTGCAAAATACAATTCGTAGGATAAATATTTTTATAATTCAGACTTTTATTAGCAAACTCATTTTGTGTTGCTCTCAGGAAATTCGTTTAGCTAATAAATCGTCTGAATTATCACAAATTCATCCTACTCATGGTATTACTGAAAAGCCCACGCTACATACCAATCAGATTGGTTCTTAACCGATATGCATGGAATCGTCATTTTTTCTGGCACGTGTAACATGACTACAGAAATCCATGCCCACAATTGACAAATGTTTCGCTTTGTCGACATATTTGAAGTTTCGAGGGCTGTATACTTTTAACTTGCCATTTTGGCAAGATTGAAAGATTTTGTCGTCTGGACAATAACTCCAAAACCCTTCAGCCTACAAGGGGTGTTGTAAAGCAAACTCAATCTCTATGCTCTCCTCGTTCCCTAATGCCTTGTCGGGCAGTTCTTGCTGATGATCAACCACGATTGTAAATGACATGTCTTCCACAACTTGAACGACCGCATGATTTTCATCAACCCTGATGATGCGACGTGCCGGTACCCACCTGGACGGGGATCAAGTTGGTCGCCTTTTCTCATTTTTTTTTATACGATAACTAACACTAGTCCGCGATAAGCCCAACAGTGTAGCGACATCCCGTCTTGGAAAAGGGATATTATTTTACCTTCATTAAAATAACTAATCGATGGCAGGTTCCAAGCTAAATTAAATTTGACAATACTTACGTCAGTCATCATGACAATAAAGCACCGACTACAGTCAATTTTTGTGAATTCGCGTGAATTGTGTGGACAAAATTCACTCTCCGCGACTGTACATAAAAACCGAACAATAAAGCGGTTGAAACAAGTGGTAGTTTACCCTTATATCAATCCCTCATCATTACATTTATACATAAACAAAATTGAGACGGCAAAGTACTATGTGTCATGTACGGTCGTGGACAGTGAATTTCGTCCACCCAATTTCTTTGACAGAAAAAAACTCTAAATTAGCCCTTAGATCTTTCTAACCTTTTTTTGTCATTTTGACATAAAGGGGCAAACATTTTTTTATACGATAACTAACACTAGTCCGCGGTAAGCCCAAAAGTGTAGCGACATCCCGTCTTGGAAAAGGGATATTAGTTTACCTTCATTAAAATAACTAATCGATGGCAGGTTCCAAGCTAAATTAAATTTGACAATACTTACGTCAGTCATCATGACAATAAAGCACCGACTACAGTGAATTTTTGTGAATTCGCGTGAATTGTGTGGACGAAATTCACTGTCCGCGACTGTACTCATGTAAACAGTTTAAAGATTGAGGCTTTATTTTAAAAGATACTGAAGCAACGTTGACTCGTAAAGCACAAAAAATTCCAAAAATTACGTCAATTCAAAACTTTTTAATCGATCTTTGTTGTAAGGAATTACATTAGCATATATCACAAACTCATAAATATCTGTGTGTCAAATTGGCTTAGGCTTTGGATTAAATATCGATCTGTGCAATTTTGGAAATAAATGAACTGAGTCACCGTGTATAAGCAATTCTAAAATCTATGAGTGCATTGATAAATCACAAGTATAGAGTCATACTCTATATATTTCAGAAAAAATTTATACAGCAAAATTTTGAGGTGACGTCATCAATTTTTTGGGAAGGGTTAAACGGTTTTACAGCTTAAAAGTTAAATTGCAACATGTTACTATAAAATTTAAAAAAATACTACTGTAAACTTTGGAGATCCTATGAGGATGATTAGTCAAATTTTAGTCAACGTTGTACCATCTACATGATGTTCTTAATATACATACAAAATTTTACAACAATCGATCTGGTAGTTTCAGAGATTATCTGTGTAATAAAAATCGACAGAGACAGAGAGACGAAAACAGAAGACCAATGTTTTCATACTCTACAGAGAAAACATGAAAGTAGCCATTCGCCGGATGGACCCTATTATAATACAAGGGAAATAAAAATTCATATTAAAAATTCAACATATTATAATGGCGCAATATTTATTGACATAAGTCAGCGCTGAAGAAACGTGTTTTAACGCCAATCTTTTAAAATAATATATTACACAAAGGACTTGGAAGAGTATTCATTTCTTACGCAATTTATATAAGTGGGAAATGAATAATTACCGATTTGTTATTATATATTTTTATATAATTAATAAATTAACTGTAATTACAGTACAGTTACATGGTTATTAATTATAGCATGGAAGTAAGCGCAACAAATGTCTGTGTTACACATTACTTGCACTATACACAATAATTAATACTTAACCAGTTTAATTACTATTAGGAACAATTAAACATTTAATGCAGGAAAACAAATCATCTAAAAATCATTGTATTTGTTCCTTGAGGATATCTTCTAAAGCGGCATACGCTGCAGCCACGAAATTAACATGATCAAAAACGGATGAGTTTTAAACATAAAGATGGTGATTGTCTTTCTTTTTTAGAAAGCACACAATTTTAGAGTCGCAAAAAGCAAACAATTTTTTGATAGCAATTAAGTAACTGATTAATTTTCGAAAAATTGTGAAATTGTGCAGTTGCGTAAAACGATGTACCTCCATCTTGTCTTTTGAGACTCTTTTTTTGACATATGTAGCAGTTCTTAATAAAAGTTTGGGCACTATTAGTCAAATTTTAACTTCGCTGTCAAGTTACAATTACAAAATTTTAGAATTTACAGTTACAACAACAAACACGACAGATTTTAATAACTTACCTAATTCATTTGTAGCATGCAAAATACAAACTGAAATTTTCTAATATACTTCTGTTCACCTACATTCTCAATGCTTGATAGCAAAACTCATTTATTAAGTCTACAAAAATTAGTAATAAAACTAAAAACTATGTAATCTAGAAAACAGTTTTCTTTATTCTTTCTACGAACAACTTGGTTTTCTTGGTACCTTTATACGCAAAACGACTGATAAAAGATAGTTCAATAGACAGGATACAACGTATTTAATTCATTTTAATTCTTTTCTCAGAGATGATCTAAAACTCGTTCGTTTGGAATTTTATCTGTCAGATAACAATTTTTACTAGAAGACGCACTCACAGTATGCTATTATTAATTAAGTGATTTCAAAATCATTCTTATCATATCCTGTCAAATTGATCACTAATTCATATCAGTTATCAATGTCTTGATGATCACGATTATGAAATCTATGTACTCTAAATGTTAACTAACATCCGGCATGATTTTACAAGAAAAAAGTAATAAAAAGCCGTGTACGTGTAGGTTTACAATGCTACTGCACTTTTATTTGTAGTAGCTCTCATTACATTATCTTGCATCATTTTTATTTATCAAGTTTGCTATAATGTTTTTAATGAATCACTGCATACTAATTTGAAAAATATTACATACGCAATACGCAACTCTTGTAACTCGAAGAGTCTAAACAAAAGTTCAGAAGAAAGCGGAAAAGTTTTTAAAATTTAATAAATTCAATCGTGAACAAAAACTAAGGTGTTCCCTTGTTAAGGTTACCTCCTTTCATATGGTACCAAGTGGTAACAGCGTACGCCGTTTAAGATTCTTGACTTGGCTGTCTTTGCAAAAAATATAAATAACACATGGATACAAGTATAATACAACTAAAACCAGTTACAGATGCCTCCGCGACTGTCTTCACTTATTTGTACGTCTGGAAGAGTTGAAAAAATGTTTACTGTTATTCCTTAAATGAATACAATACTTTTCTTTTATTCATTGACAACAAATTACGAATTGGCAAGGTTACTGCAATACTCACTAAATGTTACACTAGTTCCCGTTAATTACTTCCGTTTTAGGAAAGATGATTTAATTTGTTTGAAATAATTAGATGATTATGAAAATTAAAATCCGCGAACATTAAATATTCAAAATGATAATTTTTTACAGATTTACAAGAATTTCATGTTGCGACTTCCAGAATGTCAAGGACAGCCTCTTTCGGTTGGTTGATAATGTATTATTTCATTGACATACAATGAAAGTAAATTCCTATAACCTGCAGCCTGCAGTCTGATGGCTTTGCGGAACCTTGATTTTCGTCAAAAACAGTTATCTATTATGTGCTTGCTGTACAGAGCCCAGAGCTCTAAGGTCAAAAAAAATATCAATTAAACGGGGAAACCTTTCATTTTTCACAGCTTTGCCTGTTCATATTATTCACACTAAGAATTGTTTTTTTTTTTACTTCTAGCTCCTTTAAGGAAAATGTCTGATTAGAAAAATATCTTCTACTAAACCAACATACAGCATAATAAATCGAAGTATGATAGAATAGTGCACAATAATTAAAATTGAATTTATTATTATCAATTGTTGTACAAGTACTACAAAACTGTTAAAATCGATTGTACTTGCAGGTACACTCGTCGCGGTTAAGTGTCTGTAGTGAGTATTTGGATCAAAAAGTAGTTCTTCCGGTGCCACACTTTCCATTTTTACAGTAAATGTATAAGTAATTTCGACGTTGATTTTTATATCAACTGCATTGCAGGAAAAAAATAGAATTTAAATTATAACATCCACCAGGAAGAAACGATATAATAATGCAATAACTTTGAATTATTTCATTCTATATTTCATTCTGGTATTACTCTGATATCCATCTGAAACCAAATCTGTTTGCCACTCTTTTCAAATTAATACAGCTTAATCTCTCACACCCTATAGGTGACATATATTTAAAATGCACATTAAAAGTCATAATTAGGGAAATATTTTGAATTAGAAAGTGTTTCCATAAGCAGGAAATGCAACAATATTTTACGAATAACCTTGGTACAATAGAGTGTATTTAAAGTCAATCCTGTTCGCATTGGAAAAAGTAAGGAAATGTTGAATGGTAATCAATGAAAATAACAAAGGTTACTTTTACTTGTGATACAACAAATTTTGATGGCCACTATATCATGAAATTAAAACAGTGTCATATAAAGTGAACTATGTGTTAAATTTGAAAATATTTTAGTTCAGCGTATGTCATCTTCGCGTATCCAGCTATCAATGACTTTTACTTTCACCAGTTGAGTCTACCTCTTATTTACATATGGAAAAAATCTAAATAATCTAGGCATGTCTGTTATATAAGATTGTTGCATGGGTCTGGTCTAATGAACTAACAACAATAGATTTCTAATGTGTATATAACAAAAAAAACCTGTAAATTGTAATATTAAACTTTTTTTTTTCAAGAAATGTACAGATAACTAATACTGAAAATGACGAGTTTGTATTTAGATTTTTTTCTAAAAAAAAAAACATTTTTTTTATTACCTACAGTAAAATATGCCAATAGGGAAAAATTGTGAAACGGCATTTATTAATGAAGTAAATATATATTTTTTCAAACCAGGAATATTTGATGATTCTAAAAATGTTAATAGTAAGAACATTAGTGCTATGAAAAATATCTCATTGTAATTATTGATAACTTAAACCATTTAGCACCTTCGTAATTTACAAAATTATATCATCATGTTTTGTATTTTACGATGCACATATTTTCGCATCTATTCATTTTAACTAATAAATTACAATACTTGGTATAAAATGTTTATTCACAATTTCTAGAACACATCACCCCACAAACGTATAAAAGTTTTAAAATGTTAAAAAAACGAAAATTAAATTTTATTCTATTTGAGATCAACATTATTTTATTGGCTTTGTTAGGTTATGTGCCAAATTGATTATTCATTATAAGGAAACATTATAAAATAACGAAACTTACCACACATTTTGGCGCCACGTAAGTTAATGTACAATCTGAATTCACACAACAACTGTTACACAAAATACTGAGCAAAATTTGACTAGCTTACGTTTATATAGCATGTTGTCAAGACATTTCAAATGTCAAATGACGGAGACAGGAGACAGTGACAGATAAAGTCGGCGCGCAATGTTGCCCATGTGTGCGCATACACTGTCATAAACTTAAATTTATCGCACAATTTTATTTACAACAGTTCTAACCACGTTCAAACAGTACGGATAATTGCGTAGTTGCACGAATTCCGCTTGTTCCATTGCTTACGTATTAGAATCCCATAATTAAATATTTTCGTAGTTTTATTTTTCGAATTTTTTAACAACAAACCAGGTATCACAGAGGCAGCAGCACGAGGCCTTGTGAGAGCCGGTACCTCGCAATCTACCAAGTCCACATGCCATAGAATATTAATAGAAAATAATATATATACAAATTATTACATATTATATAGTAAATTAATAATCCATATTTATAATATATCTTCGTGAATATGGCAACGTCGTACATGTGAAACCTGCTTTTTAAACCACTTTTCGCACGAGGTGTATTAAAAACTGACAAAATAAATTAGATTTCTGTTTTACAGAATTTAACTCCTATAAAAAAGATGTCACATACACTTTTCTATAAATTTGCAACAGATAGCGCCAGCAACATTAAAAAAAAAGATTTAAATGACTCATATGTAGATAAATCTGATTGTTTCTAGGCAGAGGACTAATGTATAGGTTTTTCTACTGTGGCACAGTCTGTGGATACTACACTAACTATTAATGTTGATGTGGCTGTTATGTTATAATAATTAATAACATTTTCAAAAAATAATTGTATTACAAAGTTAAATGATAAAATGAAAACACCAACGAAATTCGTTCATACAATATTTTGTACAATTGTTTTCACGTTCAGTTCAGCTGCATGTAGCAAAAAATACACTAAATAAGGATGATTATATTGCTTTTGATGACTGTGATAATTAAAAAATGTATTGTTTTGATGTGTAATTATTTAGGTAATTTTGCAACTATGCATAATACGACAAAAATCCCATTTTAAAAATAATGTTCAACAAAGACGTTTAAGTGGGGTGGTGACATCTGGTGACAAGTCGATAACAGTGATGTTTGTTTGCTGTGAAAATCTGTAACTTGCTGTTTGAAGGTTGAAGGGAGGGGATTACTTCTTCCATGTGTGTAATTCGTGTGATTTTAATCATAACCTCAAATTCTTAAATTTGCTTCTGTGTAACAGCGATAGGTGAGTGTAGTTTTAATTGTAATTAGTGGCAGTGTTTATGATACATTTGAATTAATGCAGAAAATCTTCTATACAATAAATTGGCTGTTGAAACTCATGCAGGTGTTCGAATATTGTACATATATTGTAATAGGATCCATGCGGCGAACGACTACTTTCATGTTTTCTCGACGTTGCATGGTCGCTAATTCTCTAAAGTATGAAAAAATTAATCTAACGTTTTCATCTGTCATCTGCGTATCAGTGTCGATTTTGTTATTTACTCCGAAATTACCGAAGAACCGAACTGATTGTTGGCAAATTTTATATGAAGGAATATCCCCACCAACAATTTGATAACGTCACCTTAAATTTTTGTACATCGACATAACATAAAGTTGCAGACAAAACGTTGTTTGCGTCAAAATTTTCAGGAAATTTGTGTACTATAAATTATAATCTATACTCAGAGACGTTGGTTTCGCCTCAATTGAATGTGGTAACTGGTATTAACATTGTAGATAATCACTATGTGAGATTTGTCAAGGGAATATAAAAATCCACATTAGCATATATGTAGTGGCTAAAACTTCAAAATGTTGACAAATAAAGTGTAGGTTATTGTTGCGAATCCACATTGTGGCTAAGTTTTACTCTTCTACTTGTAGCTTATGAAACCGCCCTGTTTTTTCCTAGGCATCCAGTTAAAAAAAAAAGAATGTATGTAGCATTGTACAATTTAACTTAAAAATTGCAAAACCAAATACTTTGAAATCTTGCAAAAGTTTTAAGGTTACTGTAAGCATTGTAAATTGCTAATCAAAATATATACTCTTTTCCATTTTTATTGAAACACAATTGGTTGATCGTTATAAAATATTGAATCTATGTTTGTGGTATATCAATGCATTCATATTTTTCACTTCCCGAGCGGAAGCAAAGGAAGTATTGTAATCGAGTCCGTCGGCCGACTCTCTACCTTTGCATTTACTCGGCCTATGATAAGCCCTAGAGGACGAAGAAATAGGTCTCCCGTTTACGTCTGTCTGTCTGCCGTTCCGCATTTTTATTACACAGACAATCTCCGAAAGTACTGGGCCGATTGTTGTCAAATTTTGTATTTATATTAGGTATATCATGTAGATGGTAAAACGCTAACCAAAATTTGTCTAATCATCCCCACCACTAATGTGATGACGTCACTTCAAAATTGTACATAGTAAATGGGCTTTAATTAAATTGTATCAAATAACATAGTCTTACATATGTAGTTTACGACTCCGAATTGAGATTTTACCCGAAACGTCCAAATTTTTGAAAACAACATTTTGACATTTAATTTGAAATCTGCAAAACCGCATGCTTTGAAATCTTGCAGATGCTTTACAGTTATGATAAGCATGATAAGTTTGTATTCAAAATGTATTTACGTCTTCCCTCCAAAAAATTGATGACGTCACCTGAAAATTTTGCCAAATAAATCCTATCTAAAATGTAGAAAATATGATGAGTCTGTACTTGTAATTTATCATTCCATTCATATTTCTTGGATTTGGATGTACAGGATATTTATTTAATCAGGAACTACAAAACCGAATGCTTTGAAATCTTGGAGATATTTTACAGTTATCATAGGCATGGTAAATTTTTAGTCAAAATAAAAAATTGATGACGCCACCCCAAAATTTTTCCGAAAAAATGCTATCTTAAATGTGCATTGTGCAAAGTATGATGACTCTATAATTGTGATTTATCACTGCATAAATATTTTTCAGATTTGCTTATACGGGGTGTGTGAAAAAAATTAATAGCTGAGTCAATTTATTTTATTGATTAATCAAGAATTGCAAAACTGAATACTTTGAAATCTTGACGTTTTGAAGTAATTGTAAGCATGGTAACTTTTTAACGAAAATGTATCTGTTTATCAACCTCAAAAAACTGATTACGACATCTCAAAATTTTGCCGAATAAATTCTTTCGCAAATGTGCAAAATATGAACAGACTTTTAATCATTGCATTCATATTTTTTATATTTGCTTAAACAGGTGACTCAAAAAAATTAACGAATCAGTCAATTTATTATTGATCAAATTAAGAACCAGCCGGCCCATTTTCTGGAAAATGTGAGAATATGCTTGTCTTTATAACAATAAAATAAGGTAAGAATTATAATAATAACATTCAGAATATGTTGTTCAATGGAGGCTTATAAATAATTTTAGTCATCTGATTTTGGGCGATAAACTCATTCAAATCAAACAAATGTCTACGTGACATTCGTCCGATGTAATGTATTCCCGTTGATGTGTTGTAAATACATTTTTTGCATGCATAACCTTTTTTGATTACCCTGGTGCATTCATCAGCATGCGGGACGTCGAACATCACGCACAAATGCGTTTTGCTATGCTTTGCCACGGTAGCCTAGCCCGGAAACGTCAAATTGCCAAGTGTTTACGACGTCGTTTATAAATAAATCTGGGCGGTCCAAATGTATTCACCCTACACCAATTTTTGATAAATATAATCTTTACTTGATTCAGAGCAACGGAGTAAACCCATGTTTTTGAAAAAAATGTTGAAATTGTCCATTTTATTATTTATAAATATTTGCGTTGATTTCGTTAATTATTATTGTATAGTGATCCTCTGTTTATGTTGTCACTGGGGGCGTAGTATTTGATGAACTTGCACTGTAACACTTCCCCATAAAAAAGAATTATTTTGATATTGTCTTATATAATTATGACTTTAGAATTTTTATTTTAAGAGTTGTCATAATGACTGGACATATGGAAAAGTCGAAATATGAAGCTAGTGAATTAGTTAAAGTCATAAATAATTCGTTAGCAAACAGCAAAACTTGTAATTTTGGATTGGAATTGTTGCAAAATTTATTACCCCACTGCTCAAATGAAATTCTTATGGAAAATATTTTACACTGGACGAGTTACTGCATCGTTCAACATAAGGAAGATACCCTTCGGGAACTTAGATTAAATACCCTCGGTAAGTGATCTTTTATTGTAAAATTTTTGTTGTCCATTATAATAAGGAACGTGCTTTGTTGTAAAAAGTCAGTTATAAGAGTGACACTTTTTTTTAGATACTATTTTCTATTCTTATTGTTTTTAGAATACATTTTTTAACTGTTTTTGAATTCTTTAAAAGTATATCATATTCATAAGAAAACATATACAAAAGTGATGTAAATAATGTTTACTTATAAACATTATAGAATAAATTGCCAGTCCGTGTAGGCACATCAAGCCAGCAAAAATATTTCATCACTTTTTTTGAGAATTTGTATAACTGTATTGACCATTAATAGAATAATAACAGAATGCAACAATTAGATATGCAAAGACTACATTTGTGTTCGTTGTGAGAAAAGTGTAAATTGAAATCTTACTGTAACTTTCGTGCAACTTTCTATGCATAAACTTTTTTATAATAGTTTTACTTAGATATGTGACAAATAAAATAATTATATATTTTTTGTAGGTATGTTTTTGTTTATAACTTACATTGTAAAGTCATAAAATTTCTTATAGGCAGATTTTTTTTACGTGGTATAGCAACGATTAGAGTACAAAATAGTTACGTTTTTTATTTTCACTGCGTAAATTTTAAATTGCAGCATTATGCAAAGTCACAGTAGGTTTACTAGATCATATTTTATATTTTTAGCAAGGATAATAGAAAATTCAGACCATTTGGAAGGTTTCAATAAGAAATTTGTAACAGAATATTTAAGTGCAACCTTAAGAATATGTTTGGTACACCGATCTGATGAAGAAGATGTAGCAGCTTTGAACTGTTTGATGCAGTGTATGAAGAAATATCCTAGTTGGTTTGGTAATCATAAACAGAAAGTTGAATCATTTTTGATTGAATGTCTAGACAGTTCTTACGAATTTCTGGCCGAAACTGCAGCCGCTACTTTCGTATGTTTTCTTGAGGTAATTCACAATTTTTTATAAGTACAGTTAAACTCGTCATTGGTATACTAATAGTTGACACTCCAATGACGATAATTTGCACCACTTTAGTCAAAAAATTAAAATCGACTCTAGATGTTTTACACTTAAAACTAACATTTTTTTAGACAGGTCCGGCAGGTCAAAACGGAACAAATTATGTGGCAAATTTTAACAAAAGCTTTAAAAGAATATGTGCGACAATTCATAAATTGTTCAACAATTTCTTGAATGAAAGTTCTGGACAATATTATTTTGCGAAGATCGATGAAGATGTTCTTGAATTTAAAAAATTAGGAGGTGATATTCCGTCACCTAGTAATCTTGATGTGGTTACAAAAAGGATAATTAATTGTTTGATTTTCATAAAATTTTTAATTGTGTAAGTATGCAAAAATACTATGTAACAGTAACTTTTGTAATCAACTTTCTTTCAGTAAAAAGTTTTCAGTTGAGAAACGAATAGAGCCTAAATATCTTATTGATATCGTATGTAGAGGATTATCTATACATATTTGTTCTTCAGCGTCTGCCATGTTAAAGTCCATTGGAGATCACAGTGTATATTTGAAAAAAGTTCAGTTTCATCTGCTTTCCATTTTTCGAGTTTATATAAAAAGGTCAGATGGATAGTTAAGGTAGTCCAATATTAAATATGTTTGATTTTTAGGTTCTACACAAGTTTAATTCCATTTTCTGTAGTTATAGAGAATATTTTCTTAAACCTTTTGCAACGTGACCACAATAAATGTGACTGCTTTATTGTAGACATGTAAGTATAAGCGGCTATCTTAGGATGACAAGCTTCTTGCAGTGATTAGATTAAATATTGAGTGAACAAAACTAAAAAATATGTAACTTTATCATAGTTTGGGAAAACGCTTTCGAATTTGCATTGGATGACCAAGCTATCTTTCTTGTCGTCTGCTACGTAAAGCGAAAAATGAAAAAAAACGACTTGCTCGTCCCACGCCAATTTTGAGAATATTTTTTATTTACCGCATGTTGTGTAAATGCTGCTGGCTTTGTGGAGAAGCTTGATGAGATTGATGTTATTCTTATTTTCCTGTATCAACCTATTCACACGTTAAAGATCCATCAACACCGTGATTTATTTCAAAAGATACAGCTGAACCCTTACTGAGGGGAATACGAAATCTTGCTTTGTTTATCACTATCGGTTACCATGATGCATGTCATGTTACCACAATAAATCCGCAGAAGGTGGATTTTTAAAATACAAATAGACATAATAAAATACCGTTATACTATGTACTATAAAATAATAATTTTTAGGTCATTCAGAGCATCGGTATATAAGTCTCTAAGTAGTTGGTTGTCAGCGAGCACGATCATAAATAATGAATTACAATATCAAGAAAAGTTAATATCCATTATATTTAAGGATATCATGTCACCAAGGAGGACTATGTTATTAAGTGTTACGGATTCTAATAACAAAAATGCCGATGACCGCAGCTTGTATTAATGAATACTTTCTTAATTCATTATTTTAAACTATTTTGTTTTAGGATTTTAATTAATCGAGAAATTATGTATGTCCAGGCACTGGATACATTAAATTCCTTAGTATTGTCAAGCTTTTTATTCGACCAAAATTTATTGAAGGTAAGTGACAAGTGGTTACTTTTAATGATTGAAAATGATCTTGAAAAAATGAAAAACTAAGGTAGTAAAATATAAATGCAAATCAGGAAAATAAACCTGAAAACCTCTGATCAGAGTATGCAAAACAAATACCTTATAATCGAAAAACGTACTCCAGTCGACTAATCTGTACTAATGTAATTTCATTGGTTACTAGAGAACCTTTTTTTTTCTGTCATATAATTATGCTAAATATAAAATTGTAATATTTTAAATTGATCTACGACCAGAAAATTTTTGCTATTATATTTTGTTTGATGTTTACTACGACATCGAAATTGGCTGCAGATTTACGTTTTCCGATGATATTTTTCGATATTATTGCACTCACCCAAAAATTGTCAGCAAAGCACGAATTTTAGTCCAGATCTGAAGCCAACTTCGATCACATACTTTTGCCTGCCTATTCAAAACTAAAAAACAGTTCATATTTTTTTGTTTTAGGAAGTACTACTTTTTATCCTAGGAAGACTCAATAATTCGCAGCGTGACAAAGTTGACCCTGTCTGCAATAGTACGTTATGTCAAGTTAAATTACATGAAGTTTTAATTTCGCTTATTAAGATAGAACATTCAGTAGCTCTACCTTCACTACATTTTATTGTTAACTTACTACAGAGAGGACTAATGAATCAAAACTGGAAAATATCTCAAATGTCGAGACAGGGTTTAGATATACTGGAAAAAATTAGTCAGCCTCTATGTCCATCTCTGCACGTGTCCACCACACAGTCGGCGTTTCAAGATGCACACCGGAACAATTTATTGCTTGATGAACATGAAGAAACATCTCAAAAGAGCAAAAACAAATGTGATAAAGAGATAAATATTATAAGCAATATCTTGATTAATACGCCAAATGAAACATTGTCGGAAGAACCTGAACATAGTTTTGTTAGTACAGAAATAGAACAAGACACTGCCATGGAAAGCCAAGAAGAAGACACACCAGTGGTGTCAGTATCAGTTTCCCATGAAAAAGAAGTGAGACAAGATGTAAACCAAGAAGATAGTACGGCTTCGGTTGCAGAGTTGGACAATATGTTTTGTTCATTTCAAGATGTGGTACAAGAATAAAGCTTTCTTAAATTGAAAATTAAATTTTAATTCTTTAATCAGCAGCTCTTTTTCTTTCGGATAAATACAACATGAACATTTAATAATGGCACAATATATTATTTTAATAGAATAAAATTGTACTTAAAATGAAGTCAAAAAATCATAATCAAATGCGCTAGGCAACCACTGATGTAACCTGTACTGATGAGACCACAGAAGATTGAAACTAGCGATTCTTAAACGGTATAAAGCAAAGGTCCATCTATCAGTTTTTGCGATGTTTCAGCTTTAGTAATTGTAACAAACAGCTGGGTTATGAAACTGACGCATACTGTTTTTGGTGGATATTTGCGAATGTCGACTTTTGCGTTTAGTTGTTTCTAGTACACTATATAATATATAATAACTCTCTTTCGAAAGAATACAGAATGATGAACTGTAGAGTGTACTCTATTTAAATCTTTTGGAATTAAAAAAAAATGCAATCTTACAAATAAGAAACAAATTTTATTGCTTTATAACATTAATATGTACACACAAATATAAATTAGAAAATAGAATATTACAAAATATAACTTTTAAGGATAATTTAATATCATATAATTACTTCAAACGATTTACACTGTTTATATACTAACTCGTAGCCAAAAAAAGGGAATAAATACTTGTACAAAAATAACAGTAATCCTAATACATTCTACAAAACTAATAATAACACTGCACATACAGGCATAATAAAAATAAAAAGATGATTAAAAGTAGTCACAATACGAGTAATTTAAGAAAAATTTTGGGTTACAAAATTATCTTAAATTAAACGCATATAGAATGCGACGTAACATGGTTAAATTTTAGGTAATGACTACAGTAAAATTATCAATGCAAGTATGTTTTGTATTTAATATAAAAAATATGATTTGTGCACAACCATTAAAACTAAATTTGTTGTCAATTGTTGCTTGACTACACATTGACAACACATTTTGTTGCATGATATATCAGAGCTAGAAAGGAAAATAAATGCGTAAAAAAATCCACAATTAAGTGAAGTACAAAAATAAATAAGATTTCTAAATAAAAAACTACTTGAAAATATAAGCATCGTTATACATAAGTAATAACTGTTAACTAAATAAAAAGAAACAATACTCAATACAAACAATCTAAAGTAAAAAAAAAACACTAGAATTTAATGTAAAGCTCTGATGAATTTAAACTTATTTTTCTATATACAATTATATTATCATAAGACTTTTGTAACAATTTCAATATACAAGTAGAGCAATTTTTGTATTAAAAAAAAATCTGCGATTAACAGCTATTATCATACTATAAATAAAGTAGACGACAATCATAAAATATTGCGCGATTACACGACATGTAATCAAACTTAATTACTAGTAATTTCACTAACAAAAAAGGTACTTGACACTGGTCATAAAAAATCTCCGCAAAATTATGAAAAGTAATATAATAATCAGTTCTTGGACTTAACAGAGTTTTCCCGATATCGTAATAGACGAAGATCTACAAACTTAGAATAATTGCTCTTACACAATACGTTTTTAGAGATCATTAAATTTTCTTCATTATTATCCACACTTCACACAGCTGGCATTCAATAAATCTCAAAACAAAAAATCACCCTGAGGCTGCATACATACACACATACATATAGTTCAACAATATAAATAAAAAAAAATACCATAAAATAAAGCCATAAACTATGAAAGTGAACACAATTCTTTTGTTTTCAAAACAGAAATACACACTACATTATAAAAAGGCTTTAAATAAAGCCAATATATATTTATATAATACATATACCGTAATAAAGTATATATATTACATATGTTAAATAACAAACAAGTGTTTCAACTTTACAATCAGTAACTACTTACTAGACTTGGACACTGAAAATAACTGATATAAAGTAAAACCTATTACCATTCATTCCTTAATAATTATTCGAATACAAAAATGAAGCTACGATTGTCCTTTAATAGAAGGTATTCATTCAGTAAATATAACCTCAATATAAACGCTGCTGTGGTTATTAATATCAAGTGAATGTAACTTTATGAATTATGATATAATTCCAAGTTGTTAAATTATGATCATCTTTCATAAAATATGGTGACAACAAAAAGTTTTAACAACAAAAATAAAACAGATTTAAGTAATGAACTAGAATTGATTACTGATCGGTTCATGCGGTTCACATTCTGATTCGCTGTCTGAGTTACCTGAACTTGATGAACCTTCGTAATAACCAAATTTTTCATCAGGGTCATAATATATTTCAGCTCCAGGAAAAATGTATCGGCTCGGTTTAACAAGATAGAAAGATTTTGGCGGCAATCGTTCCGCAAGGCTTTTCTTTATTTTTGGTTGCCAAAAACCTTTCAGATCTGATGTGCTTGTACTTTCTAAATATGTTGAGTTTATCTTACTTTCTTCAGTTAAGGTGTTATTCGATATGTCTGTGAATTGAGGATTGGTACTTCTTTCCGAAATTACATCAAAGTCTTCTTTTTTAACTCTGCAACTGTTGTAGTCGTGTATTTCTAAATTTTCATCGGAAGTATCGTCGTACTTTGTTTCTAAGTCAGCGAAATTGGAATTATCTCCAATGCCTGAATCTCTAGCGGAATCTACGGACATGTGGCGTTCTTTTACAGACTTAACGTCCAACGAATTGACAAATTCTGCATCTAGTGAAGATTGCTTATTAATAATTGACGTTGGTTTGTTACTTGATGCACTACACACACAACTGAATTCTATATCTTTTGCTACATTTAAGGAACTACATTTTGTACTAGCATTACATGAACATGGCTGTTTTTTCTGCTCTAAGTTATCTATACAATTTGGCTCGGTTCTGATTTCAACACAATCGTCAGAAGTACAAAGTTCATTGTTTTTCAAATTAGGGGATGACTGGGGGCTAAATTCTTCCAAAGGAAGCAAGTGTGGAGCTTCCTCTAATTTATTATCAAATATGCCTTCTTTCCAAACTCCACTAAACCTATAAGAAACGATTTTAAAATATGCAAATAATAATGACAGAGTGACTCACAAATGACAAAGATGGTTTATAATAACATCGCAATCACCTAGCAATTCCACATCGAAATGACAGTGCGGCAGAGGTTCTCGGTTAATTAAAATTTGTGGTACGTGCGCAGGTAACGAGCTGGGAATCAAGGCAACAGGTCGTACTTTTAACGAACTCCCTATTACTAATAACAAGTCACACTTCGTTTTATCTTCAGCCATAGCTTCATGGAATGTATCTGGAAGTCCTTCACCAAAGAACACAATATCTGGTTTCATAATTCCAGAAGACACTAGCTGCCTATAATCTATTTTTTCACCATCTTCACTCAGATCGTCTGATGATGGGACAGAAGTCTTTCCTGGATGACATTTTTCACATAAAGGAATATTTTGAGCTAGAACGATGTCTCTAATAGCATCAGCTGTAACTTTATAACCGCATTTTGTGCACGTCGCCGTCGCAAAGGAACCATGGCATTCAATTACTTTTTCAATATTAGCCTCTTTTTCTAAAGTATCTATGTTCTGAGTATAATTACGTAAAAGTTTTCCATATTTTTCTAACAATTTTATAAATCTAAAAAAAAAAAATGATTGTAATCGCACGTTATTTTTATAAATTAATTAATTACTTGTGGCAAGGACTAGGTTTGAATTTTCCTGGATATATATCTCTGGCAAATTTAAAAAACGGCCTTGGGTCTTGACTAAAATAACTAATGTCGAACATTGCTTGGGGGTCTGGAAGATTCGGAAAATCTATCGCCAATCGAACATAGATGCCATCTCGAGAACGAAAATCTGGTATTCCACAAGAGACGGACACACCGGCGCCTGTTAATACAATTATGTTTTGAGCACCTACATAAAAAAATATTAGAACCCCTCTTTCTGCCATTTGCAACAACAAACCTTTAACTAATCGAACTACATCGTCCAATGTATTAACATGCCTCAATTTATTTCTTCGTGGAGGTTCTGCCAGCATGTTAATTATCAATTTCCAAAGTGTTACCTCTTCTACATATTGCGGAACTTGATCCAAATCGACACCCAAATCACTTAGTAGCGTTCGTGGGTTAACGCCATTTTGCATTTGTTTCTGTATCTGGTAAAAAATAATAAATACATACATTTTGTGCTTGTTTAATTTTGTTGTTAACATACCCATATCATACTGGCAGCCATCGGTTTCCAATCTTGTCCAGACAGGTCTGACAATCCACTTATTTCACTTACTGTTGACGCATTATCATCGTCTGCTTCAATGCTGTCTTGAGATGTGTCTGCTTGGTCTGTTCGTGAAGGCGTAAGAAATATTTCTGACAAACTAGATAAGCTCTCCTGTACATCGCCTGGGTCTGTATGTGGTGAAGTTTGATGTGAAGATGTTGGAATTGATTCTAATGTTGAAGCTTCGTATCCTGAGTCACAGTCTGCAGATATCCCTGTAAATGACAAGTAATGATCTTTAACCACCTTAAATGTGAAGTATATAATATAAGCGTTACTTGTTTTATTTGATTTTTAAGCTATAGTTAGTGATACACGACATACTAAACGAAAAGTCGTAACTTTCATTCATAAAAATGAAATTTATGTAATGTGCAAAATGGTGCACAGATACCTCAATCAAATATAAATAAATCACACTTGGAAAAATTGTCTACTGGTATTTTAGCTAAATAATAATGAAGAAAAAACATTTACGCACAAATCATTTTGATCTAGGTACGATTTTTCTTGCTTTTTTTTTAGCACAACAGCGGTAAAATTCTTTATTTAATAGCATATTCTCCAGTTCCTGTTGACATCCTTACTACTCTTAATGACTATATAAGATATATTAAAAAATCGTGATAATAATGTGTTGTTAAAATTTTCAAAAAGTCATTCTACGATAATGGATAGAAAAATAATTTATGAAATTTATTAAAGAAATCCTTTGTAGACGATTATAAAGAATTATAGTGAACCATCCGCAACATCACATTCTTAACAATTATTTCTATGCAGATGAAATTGTATACTTTCTGGAGGAGATAAACAAAGTTTTGTTGATACGATATAATTTCTAAATCAACATTAGTATCTTACCAAAATCTGAAAGAAATCCGGTGAGTCCCCCGTCGTAAATTTAAAAATACGGTTGGACTATTAAAACATGAGTAGTCGCAAGCTCCAAGCAAGATTTACATAACAAAATTTTGGGACAACCTTCACAATAATCTTAAAATACAACCAGAGTTTCAAAGCAATCGTTTCAATAGTTGGAAGATATCCTAGTGGTTATAATGATCCGATTTTTATACAATTTTTGGTAAATGCTTTTATTTTAGTCAAAAGTAGTACTTACTACATAATCCTATGTTGAAAGAATAAAATCTATCTGCTTAGTCAACCAAATTTTTTCAAGTAGTTTAAATTTGTACCACATTCAAACGGTGCATTTCTTTAAGTTTTATGAATTATCAACATCAAAGTGAAACCGAGGTAGAATTTTTAGACTTTATGCACCGACTCTTAACATCTCAGGTGAATGTTTTACCTACGTTTACATATTTGACTCACGAATAAGAATAAGAATTTTTTAGTACAACTTTTTTTTAATAATTTGAATCCGCTGTTTTATACACAGCAAAACAAAATATATACAAAGCGATTAAAAAATGGCCCACTACAACGGCACAATATTAAATCCACAAGTCTTTTTTGTCATACGTTAATTTGACGTTTGCTTACAAAAACAAAATATAGACTTATATAGAAAAAACGTGAAAAATTGGCCACTTTAGGCAAATGCATTCTGAATATGTTCGAAGTTTTTTATGTAATGTAAAGTGAAGAAACCGATGGATAAAATTATTTTGAATAATGAAAAGTCTGATCGATTTCATGTACCCAACACAAAGTCGTAAATTAAAATATGGCGAAATATTTAAAAGAAAAATTAAACTCTGAAGGCCCGTCTTCTACATTCGGGCCCCAGGATTTTTAAAATTATTTTTTATTTATTCAGTAAACAGTCCTTAATACTGTGTCATAGAGTTAGTGGATCATTTTTGATCACTCTGAATTCTGATCTTCTACATCTCTTATTACTCACACTATGATATGACGTGAAACTTTTTTTTTAGTAGTACTATATCATTTTCTTTTCTTAATTTTGAAACCTGCAATCAATGTTGAATACTTATTTTGGGTGAAAATTGGACTTATAATTATGATCAGTTAGTTCTTTTCAAAAGTTAATGGCTCAGTAACTAACCTTATTTCCTGATTTTGATGGTGTAACTGGACCTGAAGTTACAATCAACAATTTCTTTTTTACTCTCTGCGCATAAGCTAAAGAAGAATTGTAATAGGGTCCATTTGACGAATTGCTAACTTCATATTTTCTCGACGTTTCCTAACACCTAGATTATGAAAAAATACGTATCCTGTTTCCGTCTGTCTGTCGTCTGTTGGCGATTTTACTAGAGAACGGATTTCCGACTAATATTCTTCTATACTTGTGGTTTATTAATCCGCCCTTATTTGTTATCTTAAAAGTCTTGATTTTTGAAAAAAAATTCAAGCTTATACAATGTTTTACAATTTAACTTAGGAACCACAAAACTGACTGCTCTGATATCTTGCAAACGTTTTAAGTTTATTGTAAGTACAGTAAATGGTTGAAGAAAATTTATGTTTATTCCTTCCAAAAACTTGCCAACGTCGTCTCAAAATTTTGCTACATAAATCTTAATAAAATCGAAACAGTATAGTTTGCGCTTGTGGTTTATCAGTGCACCTAAACTTTTTTTTAAACTGCTTATAAAAGATGTCCTGAAATAATTAAGAATAAAGCAAAATATTTTATTGATTCAATAAAAAACGGCTTCTGAGAATACTGTTGTGATGTGTCAAAACTGTTGTATTTGTGCCTACTAAAAATTAAAAAGTTGATGCCCTAATCACAAAATTGTGTAAAAAAACTTGCTTATAACAACGCATAACATTGCTACATAAATCTTAATAAAATCGAAACAGTATAGTTTACGCTTGTGGTTTATCAGTGCACCTAAACTTTTTTTTAAACTGCTTATAAAAGATGTCCTGAAATAATTAAGAATAAAGCAAAATATTTTATTGATTCAATAAAAAACGGCTTCTGAGAATACTGTTGTGATGTGTCAAAACTGTTGTATTTGTGCCTACTAAAAATTAAAAAGTTGATGCCCTAATCACAAAATTGTGTAAAAAAACTTGCTTATAACAACGCATAACATGTTTCTTTTATTTTGTTAAAATCACACTATTATCACTATATGACTATTAAATATTTCATACTATTTGAATAAAAATTCTGGAGTTACTAACTTTTCAAAAATCGAACACTCAGTTTTTCTTTACCAGTGAATTTATGTTTTCTTGTTTGATTATTCTACCCGTAGAAAATAAAAGTAACGTACCACATATTACTTACAATTTTCAAGATCGACACAATACAAACACGGCCAATTAAAAACAGCCTAAACTCAATACCTGCTACAAGTTGAGCGTTCCGCACGTGTATTTTTTTGACATAAAAATATAAACTTAACCTCTTACAATTTTCAAAACATAAATGTCATTGGTTTCTCAGCATTTCCATTCGTAAAAATTACGTCTTCACTTTAAAAAAAGGAAAGTAAAGTAGTTTTTAAATCTTTCCACAGAAAAACCACTCCAGGGAAAATTCCCTATCATGACCTTGAATTAGGTAAATAAAACCACTAAATTTAAAAAAATACATGGAAAATTTATTTTATTGGCATTCAATCATCATAAATGTAACAAAAAAAACTGTCATGAAATTAGTCAACGCTTCACATGCGATTGATTTAGAAAATGCGTCAAAAATCAAATTTTTGCAAATTCAGTCATTTCGATCCGAAAGCACCACGCCTACAAAATGTCTGCTAGTCGCCTTTGTTCAAGTCGCCATATTGGATGATGTGAAATTTTCCCTAAACAACCAAACATATTTTGGAAATTTTACCTTCAGAAATGTCAATCGCGCCGCCTGTTGTTGTGGAAAAACTAGAAAAGTCTCCCCCATTGCACAATTCACCTATATTCGACTCTTTTAGGTCGAGTTTAATTCTTTTCGCACTGGATTCGTGTTCAGCAACGTCAGGATAGGTATCCATCTTTGACACGAATAAAATCTTTTCGAGAATCAAGTCGCCTGAAGAACAATCTGCGCACGCATCCAGCACCTACCCATAATTCTTTGCGTTGTCTGTGCACTGCCAGAGTCGAGAGACAGACAGCAAATTACTAGTGAAATACCACAAATTCATGCTTAATTTTTCAAGAATTCGTACAGTTTTCAAAGTTTTTGTGTAGTTGATCCAGCCATGCCGAAGAATAAAGGTAATATTGCACTTTCGGAACAAACGTAATGTGTTTTTTGAGGCATATTTCGGACCCACGTTCCAGGATTGACATTTCGCCACACATCTTGCTAATAATTTTTGGAAAATTCGCCAACAATTATTTCGCAAAAGCATGCAGTGACACACATTTTACACGATATGAATTTATAAAATAATCACACATTTATTTTAACAGCTTCAAACAATACTTACGTATAAATGCGTTTTAGGAAAAGGAGGCAAGAACCGCAGAAGGGGTAAAAACGAAAACGAAACAGAAAAACGTGAGTTGGTTTTCAAAGAAGATGGCCAAGAATATGCTCAAGTCACAAAAATGCTGGGAAATGGTCGATTAGAGGCGATGTGTTTTGACGGTGTAAAAAGGTTATGTCACATAAGAGGGAAGCTAAGAAAGAAGGTTAACAAGTTCAACTTATTAAGAGGAAAAAAACTCAATTTTGAGGTTTTAGGTGTGGATTAATCAAGGTGATATAATTCTCATTGGCTTACGAGATTACCAAGATGCCAAAGCAGATGTTATTTTAAAATACACACCAGATGAAGCTCGTAATCTGAAAACATATGGTGAATTCCCAGAATCAGTTAGGATTAATGAGACGGTCACATTTGTTGAAGAAGGATTTGATGAAGATATCGAGTTTGGAGATGATATTAGTTCAGCAGATGAAGCCGATCCTGTTGATGGTGTAAGTTAAGTTAATTTTCTAATCATAGTGTATTATAGTAAGTTGTGTTTTAGATCTGATGTCCAACTTGTTCAGTGCATCAATCTTCCATCAAGTACTTGCCAGCTGGACTCGTAGTATTTTGGTTGGTTCCATCCCTAGGTAAAATATGTTTATACCTGTTATAATTAATGTCACATCCATGTACATTTTAACGAGTAATATTTTGTTAGTCATGGGTTTGTAAAGCAACATTTATGTATTCATTTGTAGAAGTACTTGTTGGCATCAAATATCTCTTAATTTAAAAATTCTGTATATTTTATATAGTTTTTCAATTTTACAATGTGAAATTTTATTTTCAAAGAAATCACAAAAAAAGTGTAAAAGTGTTAAATAATAAAAATATTGTAACATAATAGGAAACGTAAGTTTTATTTAAAAAAACAAACTGGTGATAAATTAAGTTTGTGGATAAGGCGTTACATTTCGATATGATATAATCCAGCGGTCTTCAAACTTTTCTTGAGTAGTGGAACCCTTTTGGGTTGTGTTATTATTTTTTAAAACCCATAGATTAATACAGAGAAAAAAGTTTTCTAAGATGTCCACAGATCTTTTTACATTTAGTTACATTTGACGTTGTAATGTATTTTATTAATACATATTTTACGTAATTTTTTGGAAAAATCTGTGATAATGTAAATTGAAAAACATTCAGATTTAACAAAGATTTCTTTATTCTACTATACATCACCACCATTGTGCTTGTGTATTTTCACATAAGACTGAAATCGGACTCTATTGTTGTTAACTGTAAACGCACTTCATTTTCTGCATTTAATCTGTTTTTCTACTTCGTTTTCATTGCAACATACGTCGAAAACGATTTTTCACACAAATACGTAGTGGAAAATGCCATTAAAATTGTTGTAGCCCTTTTGGAAATTTCTGGATATTCTGTTGCAATGTTACGCCAAAAATTAAGTAGATCTTCTCCACATTTTGAGAGCAGAGTAGAATCGGTAGCAATATCTATTAACTGTTCTTTTCCTTTAATAGCTAAAGCTTCAGATTTGTTATAATTTTTAAATGGGTCTTTAATCCAGTCATGAGCATTTTGTTTCGCTTGGAAAATATTCTTTGAAAGTCGCTTTTAACTGGACAAGATGTTCCAAAATACATATTTTCAGATTGTAGTCTAATTCTAGTTCATTTTCAATTAGAAAATTATTGAGTTGTACAAAACATTCTACATTATTCTTTGTTACAATTGATTCCCACATATTTAATTTTAATAGTAACGCGTTAATTTTGTCCGAAACCTTGATAATATGTACCGTGAGTCCTTGAAGGGATATGTTAATTTCATTGATTATAAAAATGTCTGCTAGGTAGGCTGCCAATTGTAACCAGTTCTGATGATTTAATTTTTGGGCATACTCAGATTTTCGTTCATGCAAAAAATTCGTACTTCATCTTTTAATTCAAAAAATCGGCTCAAGATTTTCCCTCGCAATAACCAATAACGCACCCCTGCACGTACAAGTAAGATTTTATGATTACTAGATAATTCCTCACATAGCAAGGTAAATAATCTTGAGTTTAATTCCTTAGATTTAATGAAATTAATAATTTTCACAACTTCATCCAAAACATCTTTTAATAGTTTTGGTATTCGTTTTGCCACGAGTGCATAACGATGAAGGCAGCAATGAGAATGTTTCATATGTGGAGCTATTGCTTTTACTCCTGAGACTACCCCTTTGTTTGAGCCCAATAATGCTTTTGCTCCATCTGCTGTACAAATATGTGAACATAGATCCCAAGTTAATCCATGGTCTTCCATATATTTATTTAATAGTCCGAAAATGTTTTCACCAGTAGCTCTCTCTAAGCTAAAGAACCTGTCAGGGGAAAGCCGATGTTTACTGCACCCAAGTTCTTGGAAAAGCTGCGGTTCGAAAAGGACTGTAAAACGAATTACTCTCGGAGTCCATAAAATGCTTATAATCCTAGACAAACTTTAATAACTAGTCTAGAGTTATTTAAACAGAACTTTCCCTAGCTCTGAAGTACATACATACAACCAAAGTAAATTAGAGCGTATTTTTTTAATAAAGCTTTATTGAGTAATTACATTAAACATTAATTGTAATAATTACAATATATAGCGCTAGGAACGTTACTCTGTTCTGAGAATTTAGAGGAAATTAACTGATCCGTTTCTGAACTAATAGAAAAAAGTAGTTGTGGATTAATAAATCATGATAGGTATGACTTTATAAAGTTTTATAGAAGATGAAGTGAAATGAACAAACAAGTTATGTGTATTGTAAACGTACGACGAAAGATATTTGCAAATGACTCCAATTATGAGAAATGCAACTGTAAAATTTCCGACCACTTCGTAAAGTGCACCCAGCATAAAACTGTCAATCAAGATTACTCGCCACCCTTACCTTTCTAGGACCGTATTTGTTTCAATACGTGAACAGGTAGATTGTTAAACGGACCGCTTTCAAGGAATTTAATCTTAAAATTTAAAGACACATGAAAGTGTGGTTCTTATAATTTTTTAAATCTTTGCAAATACATATTTCCTAGAAAAATTCCAATAAAAATTAACTCTACCATGATTCATATATATGCTGGTTCGTTTTTATGACTATATCCTATTGTAAAGAAGTTAAGTGTTCCACAATAGGCCTCTGCCGTAAGTAATCCAGCGGTCATAAACCATCAAGGGACCAACTGTCTACACTACACAGGGCCGTATGCGCCCGTAAACCTTTAAAATGATTTATGGCAGGGCTATTTACATTTTCAATAGAGTTCCTAATACTTGCGGTAATTGAGATTGCAGTGCCATAAAAACGAAGTCAGAGTTGGACCACTATACCTCCGTTGCGAAGGGTTCGTAATGGTTTTATTGCAGGTTGCGGTCCAAAGTACTAAAGACCCCTCATAAAGTAATTGACGGCGTTTGCAATTATCTTTCGTCGTACAATATAGTAATGAAAAATACAAGTGGCAGACTTAAAAGTTTTAAAGCCCGCCATATGATTATACGCCTGGCAAGCAAAAGTGGCAGACCTAACTTTTAAAGCCGTCGTAGGATTGCCATAAACCTAAAAATATGAACTATACCTACTCATCTATTTATGAATAAACACTTGCATAAGACCGAGATGAGGATGAGTCAAGCGAAGCGGTATTGAAAGTAGGGCCAGCAGGCTAGGTAGAAGAGGCCGAAGCACTTTAAGAATAGGTAAAATGTATAATAATACACATTACTTGACAGAAGTTCATACTTGTATGGTATAATATTAATAATAAATGTATTTAATCAATGGAATAAGTGACCCACCTGCGGTTTTATAACATAGACTAACAAATCCGTTCTTGAGTTGAGTGCCCATGACAATCCCATTATCAGAATATTGTTGGACAAACTATATTTGAAAGGACCAAAGGTTCTATGAATCAAACGGTCATCAACTCCGGTCCAAGGTCATATCTCGTTACACTGGTGCCTTAATCCCTCGCCTTAACTCCGGCCGCCCAAACTGATAAGCGCACCTGTTGTAAACTTTGCATACATTTTAGTTGTGCCCTTTTAAATTCCAATTTTAAAATCCATGCAAACACCTGATGAAGCTAAAAAGTCAGAAAGTAGACGTGTAATAATAATAAGTAAAGAAGTTAGACAACGGCAGAATTTTATACCGCAAAAAATTTTGCAATATGATAAGCGCAGTTCTACATACGATCTTGTAAAATGTGTTTTACGTAAACATAACAGCATTATGTTATAATTTATAACAAATTTTGTAACCCCATGAATGCTAATATGGTTTAAATAAACGATTGTTAAAATAATTTTTAAAGAAGAATAAGTGGAATTAGAGTCAGGTAGATATTCGACGCGACGGACCGGAATTAATGCCTTGCCCAAGGAGCCACATGTAGTGGATAATGAAATCAGGTATAGTGCTCCAACTCTGACTTCGTTTTTATGACACTGCAATCTCAATTACCGCAAGTATTAGAAACTCTACTGAAAATGTAAATAGCCGTGCCATAAATCATCTTAAATCTTTACGGACGCAGACGGCCCTGTGTAGTGTATATCTCTAATATTTTATATATTTTTTCATACTGTTTGTGTTTTTATGTGTCAGTTTCAAAACGCATTTAGGCTTTTTGAAACTAACACATAAAATGCACAAACTATATTTTTCCCTTCAATTATAAAAAAAAATTGCTTTCAAATTTGGCGCCAATTTTAGTTCCCGATCCAGCCAGTAGAAGCTGACATTGTGAACAACATAGTGACAACATACAAGCATTGGAGATCGTGTTCTGTAGTTGACAAGCTCTAACCTCTAATTCACTCTAATTGTATATAACCTCTACAAAAACGTATCATTTATCTCTGCCGTGTGCCGTTACGTTACATTAAATGAAAGATATGTATAAAAGGTGATGTGACACCACGTGTTTTTTGTGTTATATTATTCTACTAGTACCATAGTACGATTCTTCGTGTTGTGAGAACTGTGCAAAATCAAATATGAGTGAAAATTTTCATGACATGATAGCACAACTGTGTTTGAAACAATTTTATTCTTTACCGAAAAGTGGTAAACCAAAACAGAATGAATGGACTATTTTGTCGGCTATAGTGTTAGAAAATGAAAATAAATATGAAGTAGTTGCAATGGGAACTGGAACAAAATGCATTGGCCAGGACAAGCTATCGAAAGATGGAGATATTTTAAACGATTCTCATGCAGAAGTTATTTGTAGAAGGGCTTTCATACGATATATTTATGAATGCATGTTACATAAAAATATCGACTTATTTAAATTTAACTTAAATAGACAAATATTTCAATTAAAAGATTCTGTAAAGTTTCACTTTTTTTCAACTCATGTTCCATGTGGGGATGCCGCTATATTTTCAAAACAGAATGCCGAAGAATTTGGAGATTTATTAATTAATGCCAATTCCACAAATGTAGCCCATTCTAAGAAGCGTGGAAACTGTGACATGGGTTCTAGAAATAAGAAAATAAAACTCCAACAAAGTACTGATATTTTTAGAACTGGAGCAAAATGTTTAAAAGAAGACAAGAAACAGGATCCAAAACTGGAAGGTGCTAATTTTCATGTTACTGGAGTGGTTCGAATTAAGCCTGGCCGAGGTGTACCAACACTATCTGTTTCATGCAGTGACAAGTTATCAAGATGGTGTCATTTAGGTGTACAAGGAGCATTGTTGAGTATTTTACTAGATAAGCCAATATATTTCAGTTCTTTTACAATATGTGGAGGTACACCATATAATGAAGAAGCAATCATGAGGGCGTTATTAAATAGAGTAGGAAACGTAAGCTTACAACCACCCTTCCAAAAATGTAATATTATTTTGGGACAAGCAAATTTATTATTCTCTTATGGTAAAGTGGAAAATAAGAGTCCCTGCCCCTCCAGTATAGTGTGGCTCAAGGGAAAAAGTATTGAAAGGTAATAATTGAATTTTGTTTTTTGATACCAAATTTCAATTTCTTCATGGGATCATTAAGATCGCTTTTTATTTCTCAAGCATAAGCTAAGGAAGCATTGTAATATTCATCACCCCTAGAGTATGAAAAAATTGGTTTAAGATTACTTAGACAGAACTCCCCACACCTTTGAAGTATAGTTCGATAAATCTCTATTTGAAAAATTAGTAAAATTTGATTTTAAAATTTTCGTTTAGTGATAACATCTATAAAGTAAAAACCACTACCCAAAATAACACGCTTGGAGCCCCCTTACTTGGAAAGAATTCGACCCTTATGTAAAAAAACTCTGCTGGGGAGAATGTTCTTGAGTAGGAGACAATAACTTTGGAAGTATTCTACTATTAGTACGTTTAGATTAAGCACTCTTCTTTTTTTCTTTACAAAAAACTGGGTGTCTAGCGTAACACTCATAAATTTGAACAACATTTATTCGTCAGAAGTGTAATTAGGGGGGATAAAAGTGATGCGTATGTTTCAAGTGAACACTTATCAAGGACACATACATAATATAAATCTGAATAGGTGCAAATATAATACCAGTACTGCATACTCGTATTTTCGAGAATAAAATAGAATGTCTCATTCATTAATTTTTTAAGTCATCTTGTATAAGTAATTCTAAAAAAATTGAATGCATTTAAAAACCACAAATATAGATTCCTAATACATATTTTACATATTTTAGATAGTATTTATTCAACAAAATTTTGAGATGATGTCATCAACTTTTTGGGAAGGGATAAGCGAATTAATTTTGATTAAGGCTTTACAATGCTTACCTTATAACCTTATCACGCTTGTAAGATTTTATAACATTAAGTTTTAGAGTTTCAAAATTAAATTGAAAAATGTTATATAATTTTGATTTTTTTCCAAAAATCTGAATGTAGGGTAAAAACTCAACACGAATTCATAAACAAGTGGATGAATACCTTATTCTATAAAATTTAAATAACATTTACTATTGTAAATTTTTAAGATAACGTGATCCCATTGTTTGTCGGGACGACTAGACATATTTATTTAATTAGAGTTTTACCTTCTACACGATATTCCTAACATACAAATAATATTTAACGTCAATCGGCCCTGAAGTTTCGATCTGTCTAATAAACATTGACACATCTTATCATCCCCAACATCAACAATTGATAACGCCACCTCATAAGTTTGCATAGTAAGTGGTATTTAAATGTTATAAAATAACATACTTCTACACTTGTGGTTTATGAATCCATCTGATTTTTTACTTCCCGAGTGTAAGCTAATAGTTCCCGCGTTTATTCGAGAAGTAAAAAATCAGGCGTATTCATAAACCATCGGTCGAGTCCATCAGCCGACTCCCTACTTTTATATTTTCTCATGACCCCGAAAGTGCGAAACAATAGGTCTCCCGTTTCTGTCTGTCGTCTGTCCGAATTTTTACTAGACAGATAATCTTCGAAGCTAATTGTGCCGTTTGTTGTCAAATTTTGAATGTACATTAGGAATATCATGTATGTAGATGGTAAACGCTAACCAAAATTTGGATAATCATTCCCACCACCATTGAGATGACGTGATCTTCAAAATTTACAATAGTATTCTTTTAATTTTGTAAAATAAGATACTCTTGCACTTGTGATATATGAATCCGTGTCCATTTTTCACCCTAAACATCCAGATTTTTGGTTCTTATAAAAATAGAATTCGCATATCAAATTATATATTTTTTCGAAAAAGCTGGAGTTATTTTATTGTAGGTACTTCAAGAGCGAGGGAAGTTTTGTCGAAATAACCTTCGACCAATTCTTTGCTTCCTGAGCGTAATCGAGTCCATCGGACGACTCTACTTTTACGTTTTTTCGACCTTTCATGACCCCTAGAATACGAAGAAATAGGTGTCCCGTTCCCGTCTGTCCGTCTGTCTGCCGTCCCGGATTTTTATTAGACAGATAATCTCCGAAAGTACTGGGTCGATTGTTGTCAAATTTTGTATTTATATTAGGAATATCATGTGGAGTAGATAGTAAAACGCTAACTAAAATTTTTTCTAATCATCCCCACCACTAATGCGATGACGTCACCTCAAAATTGTACATAGTAAATGGGTTTTAAATTGTATAATATAACATAATCTTACACATGTAGTTTATGACTCCGTTTTGGTTTTTACCTGAAACGTCCAGATTTTTGGAAAAAAATCAAAATTATGAAACAACATTTTGCAATTTAATTTTGGATCTGCAAAACCGAAATAATCAAGATTTCAAAGTATTTATTTATGCATAAATACTTTGAAATCTTGCACACTGTTAAAGTTATTGTAAGCCTGGTAAATTGTTAATCAAAACATATCTGTTTATTCCCCCCAAAAAATTAATGACGTCATCTCAAAATTTTGCCGAATAAATTCTACCAATAAGGTGCAAAATATGATGAGTTTTTACTTGTGATTTATCATTGTATTCATATTTTTTGCTTTTGCTTAAACAGGTGGGTCAAAAAAATTAATGAATGAATCAATTTATTTTATTGATTAAATCAGGAATGGCTATCCATTTTCTCAGAAAATTTTGAAAATACAACACTGTTATTTTTAGTATTACACTGCACCAATCCAAGCTGATATACGTATCCTTGTTTTTACTTACACACAAATTAAAAATGAGTGACCCCATTTTCTCGAAAATGTGAAAAATACCCACGTCTTTATGTAATAATGATAAAATAAGAATTATAATATTCAGAACATTTTGTTCGATTAAGGTTTAATTAATAATTTTAGTCCTGTGTTTTGAGAAGACAAACTCATTCAAATCAAACTAATTTCTACGTGACATTCTTTCGATGTATAAACATCAATTAACAATTGAGCGTCAGATTGCTATTACCTAGTGTTGAAGGACAAGAGTTATAAAAATGGATTATTGTAAGTTCAATATGGTGGGGCATCAGAATCTGACAACAGACTGTCAGTCAGTAGCGTAACATGCACACTTTCAGAAAGGGGTGGTTTTAAATTTATTTTTTTAAATCGCAAATAATAACACATGGAAACATAAACTTCAGTGAACTGGTCAACACTCTGCACTAATCTAAACAGGTACAGGTAGGTACCCATCCCAGGTAGAAAAGTTGACTGTGACAGAGAAACGATGACGGACGCATCTGAGGGTGCGCTCATTCGAAAATGCTGGATATGTTTCATTGTACTTCAGGAGCGAGGGAAGTTCTGTCGAAACAATTTTCGACCAATTTTTTTGATATTTAATTTGTATATATTTTTTTGTTATTAGGCAGATTGAAGTTGCAGTTGACGGGAGAAGGCAAGGAGTAACGAAAAAACAACTGAAAACAACCGGGGCATTAAAAATATCTAAATTAGAATTGTTTAAAGCTTTCGTAAATGTAATCAAACAATTTGAATTAAGACTAGAAAACATCACAAATTTGGATAAAGTGACTTATAAAGAAATCAAAATGTATTCACATAATTACCAGAAATGCTGGTCTTCTCTTAAAAGTAATTTTAAAATTTGGACTGTAAAAAACAATGATTTGATGACTTTTTGTGTATCATAATACCCAACCCACGAAAGTCAACTCTACATTAATTGTCCATTTATAAACAACTCTCAATACAAAATTTTCGCATATCTCATTCCAGATTAAAATGATTTCACCAACTTTAAACACTAGGGAATAATCTTGAATTTATTAATTACTCGTAAAAGTTGTTTTAAGTTAAAGTATAGTTTCGATTTATCGTTTGAGCAGTGTATGTACTTCATGATCATAACTGATCATAAATTGGCAAGAAATTGTAAGTTTATTAACGCAACGGCTCCTATATGATTTAATTAATTTAATGTTTGATTCTATACATATCGGCAATATATACACATAAATCGTGAGACTAAAATTTTGAAGTTATGTGGTGGCAAACAAGTTGACAAAGTTATTATTTCAGTTACTTTGATTTGCAATGGAGTTTATGTAACAATTGTATTTTAATGTGACATTGATTTTTAATTTTTTAACGTAATTTATGAATTTTATTTGTACATAAAGAACCGAAAATTTAAATAAAGATATTTTGATTACATTTGTTATTATTGTATTTTATATGATCTTAATATTCATGGCTTTACGTCTAAGCCTGTAAGTTTTTTAGGCGGTTTATAATTTAGTGTTAAAAGACGATAAAAAATTGATTTCAGAGATGAGTTATCTATCACCACTCCAGTACTTATACAAAAATACCGACCACAAATTATGCTGAAACTAAATTACTTACAGACTAAAAGAATGAGCCAACATCCCCGACATTATTTTGATAAAAAAACACACACGAAAGAAGTTTATACCACAAACTTCTATTTTTAAGACAAATCTATAAAAACAAAATAAAAAAAAGATGTCTTTATGTAACTTAAATAGTATAATAAGGTGAGTAGTCGTCCCTTTTTTTATAGAGAAAAAAAAAACTTACGAACAACCGTGCATGCGACCCATGGATTTTTGAAATTATTTTGGGTTAGCTTATTTTAACTGTGAAGTAACAGTTGTATTGTAAAGTATGTCTTTTGTGAAGTTGACATATCGTTTCAGTAAATTATCCGCAGCACGGTTAAGTTCTAAAGTATTATGTCGAGCTTCCAGTGAGCTTATTATAAATTAGAAAAGGATTTTTACTTCCCTGATGGAAGTTAGAGGGGAGAATGTCTATTTTTATGTATTCTCGACGTTTTATATTCCCCAGAATATGTAATAAAAATAAATCCCCTTTTCCGTATGTCTATCGTCTAATGGTGATTTTATTACACAAATAGTCTTGGAAACCAGCGAAGTGATTATTGTAAAATTTTCGGTGTAGGTACTTTAGATGATAAAGTGCCAACCAAAATTTGTCTAATCAACCCCCAATAATTTTAATGACGTTATATTAAAATCTTACTATGCAATTCTGTTTAAATTTTATAAATTAATATCTTCTGTACTTGCTTATTAAATCACCCACATTTTTTATCGTAGAAATCTAGATTTTTGGAAAAAATATCAAAATTATACGTTTTACAATTTAACTTTGAAAGAACAAAAGCGACTGTTCTGAAATCTTATAAATGTTTTAAGATCACCGCGTAAGCATGGTATAAAATCAATATTAATCTGTTTATCTCATCTAAAAATGTGATGACGTTCATCTCAAAATTGATTAAATAAAAGCTACCAAAATGTGGAAGGTGTGTTTACACTGTGGTATTATAACAACGCACTTATATTTCTTAAAACTGCTTATGCAGAATATTTCTAAAATTCTACAGTATATTATCTATCCACTACCCAAACTGATATATGAATTTATTTCTAAAAAAAGTTGATGACGTCATTACAAAATGTTATTAGTTTTAAGAAGAATTTAGTTGAAACATATACGTACAAAATGTTTCTTTACATGTACTTTTATAATCCGTACCAATTAAAAAAAAATGCATAATCAAATTTTATAATAATAATATACCTACCCAAGTGGCTAAAAAAATGTCGTTAGATTGTACTTTAGGGACGAGGAAAGTTCTGTCTAGATAACTTTCGACCATGAAGGTAATATCACATATATTATTCTATCTCCATGCTTTTGAGTAACTTTTTCTTTTGGTTTGTAATAACTGATATTGTAAGTAGTTGATCCATTTGAACATTTCATTTTCAGATGAAATTTATACTCTATTAGCCAAATACACTGACGTCATCCGAGGTCACCAAGATGGCAGCGTTTGACAACTAGCCGGTTTTCTCATAAGAGTCAATGCTAATATTTTCGGAATTCATTTAAATTTGAGAGTGTGTCAACTATGTTTTTATAGTTTGGTAAGTTTGTTACAGTTTCTACACTGTGTAGATATCTGTAAAACGCACCATAACATTTGAATAGGCTTAAAATATAATGTTTTCCAATGTGATGTACAGGTTAACTTCGCTGCATCTTATATCATTTGTTTTGCAAATTAATTCTTTGTTAATGTACATCAATGTTTTTTAAATACACTAGCATCTTAATATTATAATATTTTGTATTTTAGGAGAAAATGCCTAAATTTTGTGCTGTTGTGGGTTGCGCGAATCGAAGCACCAGAAATGCGGACAAATTTTATTTTCCTTTCCCAGCAATTAGCAACAATAAAGGTAAATATATACAGCATGGGAAAAAAAGCGGAAGCTTTGGTTAAAAGCCTTGAAACAAGTGAATTTAACGAAGTCAAAGTAAAGTATTCCTATGTTTGTTCGGATCATTTTATTTTAGGTACAGTAACTACCTATTAGATTTACAGTTTCTAATAAATTACTACATTGGTGCTCTTTTAGGTAAACCTGCAGATTTGTCGGATGTGGACCATCCTGATTATGTTCCATCACAAAATTTAGGATATCAAAATAAATCCACTCATAATACTTGTAATGTTGAAAGACACAGTCGTTTAAAAAAGAGAAAACTGAATAAATGCCTCTAGACTTTTGAATGCACGAATTTCATTGTGGGTTATTTTACTTATTCCAAAAATAAAAAAGTTTAGAATGGTATTCATTGTTATGGTAGGGACATGGTCTAAACACAAATTAAAATCACTTGCACTCATTGTATAAGGATCTCCGCCGTTTAAATTGTTTAACTTTTGTACATATCTGTTTTTCTCCTTGAAAGAAAGACATCGTGCATAATCACTTAAATTATCCATACTTTAAAAACAAATCACACACCTTCACTTAAACCCGTCACATTAACCTCAAACGAAATGTCTTTATGTGTTTCCGTCATTTTGTCGGCGTTGACATGACGTAATTACCGCATTGTATTTGAATAATAATAAATTTTTGTAAACTTAAACCGTTAGTTAAGTACAAGTTTTATAGTGGCATAATTCACAAAGGAGAAATTGTTGCCGCTATTGCGATTGCTTATTGTGTTTGACATGGATTGTAAAGCCATGAAATTTCAGCTTCCAAGTGGAAGACTCATGCCCTTAATTGGATGTAAAGTATTTTTTACTAAATTTTCTTCATTTTACAGTATTTTTAATTAATTGTGTACTTCTTACATGTGTGATTTTTGGTTTCAGTTGGTACATTTCAAATCCATGGGCGCAGTCTAATTAGAGAAGTTCTTGACTATGCACTTGCTGCTGGATATCGACAAATAGGCATGAACAATCACTAGTAATGCGATAATTTTAAAATGACTAACTTTGTTTTGCAGATACAGCAGCTGTTTATGGCAATGAGGAAGATATTGGACACGCATTAAAAGAGTTGTTACCAAAATACAATTTAAGAAGGGGAGACATATTCATTACATCAAAGTTATGTAAGTATGAAATAACTCATATTATTTAATTATTTATGTGTCGTTTAATAAAGCACCAAGTGATCAGGGTGATCAAGCACTTCAAGCCTTACAACAATCTGTTGAAAACCTCAACTCTGGTTATCTTGATCTTTACCTTATCCACTGGCCTGGTGCACAGGGAATTCCAGGAAACCATCCCGACAATGTTAAATTAAGATCTGCCAGTTGGGAAGCATTAATGAAAGGTGTAGAACTCGGATTGGTTCGAGATATTGGTGTGTCCAATTACACAGTACGACATTTAAATGAATTGTTGAGTAAAAACTATAGTGTAAGACCAGCTGTTAATCAAGTAGAATGGCACCCACATTGTCATGGTGCTGATTTAAAGAACTTCTGTAAAAGTCAAGGCATATTATTACAAGCTTACTCTTCTTTGGGAGGTTCTAACAATCCAAGGTTGATCAAGGATCCTGCTGTTGTACAAATTGCCACAAAAATTAAGAAGAGCCCTGCACAAGTACAGTTTGTAAAATTAAGTTACATTATGTTTGATCTTTTATTTGTAGGTTTTATTGCGTTGGGCCCTCCAGCAGAATATTGGCATCATTCCAAAAGCTAGGTCTAAAGAACACATTGAAGCAAATATTGATCTTAATTTTGTCATTTCTGATGGAGACATGAATACACTAAGCAATATGACAAAAAAAGAAAAATATGCCTGGGACCCAGAAAGAATAACATAAGTGAACACTTCCAAATGTTAAATATTCTTGTATTGAAATAAAGTGGTATATCATTTTGCAGCTTTATTGTTCACCATTCTATACACTGAAATGTGGAATGAAGAAAAAATTCTACATACTGTTTAAAAAAATGAACCAAGTTTATTAATAACTAACATTACATAGCAAACAATTTTAAAAAATTAATAGTCCTGCGACTGAGACTTGCCAGACTTTCCTCCAGTTGGGGCATTGCCTGTCTTTTTCGGCAGCAGAACCGCTTGAATATTAGGAAGCACTCCTCCTTGGGCAATGGTGACTCCTGATAACAATTTGTTCAATTCTTCGTCGTTACGAATTGCCAGCTGCAGATGGCGAGGAATAATTCTTGTCTTCTTGTTATCACGCGCGGCGTTTCCGGCCAATTCCAACACTTCGGCGGCTAAATACTCCATTACGGCAGCTAAATATACGGGAGCCCCAGCACCAACTCGTTCTGCATAATTACCCTTGCGGAGCAAACGGTGGATCCTCCCTACGGGAAACTGCAGCCCCGCACGGTTTGACCTGGATTTCGCCTTTCCTTTTACTTTGCCACCTTTACCTCTGCCGCTCATCTTGTTTTAAATCGTTAATTGTCTTACACAAGCGAATAATTTTTCAACTAAACTGCAACTGCTTCGATCGACCACTGCGGGCGGGAAAATGAACGAAAATGGAGCTGAGCGGCAACTAGCCGGTAAAGCCGGTAAAAACGGTCTGAAAACGGTTAAAACAACGTTGCCAATGGTTAAATTTCAATACCAATAAGTATGCTAAAAATTACTAAATTCTAGTGACGTGTGGACATTGTACCTACTTGAACGGTAAAAATTGTCTACTTGAGTATTGTCTTTGTTCCGTTATTTTCAATTGTTGTTGATCAGTTGATAACGTGAAACGTGCATTGTTCTGAGTTATAATATAGCTGATCTTAACTTAAAAGTTATGTAATGATGGCTCACTCTTTGAAAGAAAACGAGCATCATGGTGTTGATTTACCTGATAATAACCACGAAGAGGATAAAAGTAATGTAAAGAACGGGTATGCCAAGGATCAACGTGATGCGTTACCTGATGCTTTAGGTAGTTCTAAGTAAGTTATATCTCATAAATTCTTTTTTGAAATACTTTATTATTTCCACATTTCACAGAGGGATTTATGGTAATACTGTTGCTCGAATGCCAACAGAGAAGTATGCTACCCATTATAATATGAATCATAAAATTCGCGGATTAGCTCTGATCTTCAATCATGAATTTTTTGATATACACAATCTGAAGCCAAGGACTGGGACTGATCAAGATCGTAAAAATCTAGAAGAAGTTTTGAGAAAACTTGGGTTCGAAGTTGTAGTCTTTCAAGACTTGAGGTACCATGACATCGAACTCCAGATTAAACAAGGTATTTTAAGTCCTCTGATTTTATTTTTATCAGATAAATAATAATCACTTATCAATAGTGTAGGACAAAGTTATCTTATTTTGTTTTATATTGATACATTTATGACATCATGGTTTTATTTGGTATTGTAGTAATATGTGATTTGAGATATAAGATATGATTAATCCACTCTAAATACCTGTTGTTAAATTGCCCAATTTAAAGCAGTATTTCCCATGAACATTGATGTCCCAAAATAATGAGTATGACATTAAATTATACTCTACTGAACTGAACTTGTTATATCTGAAGGTCATTATGTACAGGGTGTAATAACAGGTTGTATTGTTTGTGTTTTCTAAGGGGGAGATTCTGGAAACTCCGATAAGTTGCAAATCGCTATCGAAACTGCAAATACAATGCAACAACAATAGATGTTGCTATGGTTTTGAATTTGCAGATCCTTGCAAGGCCTTATCGAGTTTCGAGAATCTCCCCCTAAATCATTAAAAGCGTAATAATTGTAGCAACTAAATCTTCATTGTCTAAAAAATATATACAGCGTGAAACTATTTATGGTAAAAACTCAATAGTTTCTTGTGATTATTACATTTTTGCGTCACTATCAAAATGGTTTACACAATTTCAAAAAAAGTTAGAAACACACCAAAAATTTTTAATAACAAAGAAATACACGAGAAAAGGCACAATCATAAATGAATAGTCTCAAGCTATTAAAAAAGTAGATGTTTTCTTTTAACAGGGAAGTTAAATTTCATTTTCTTCAGGACAGAAAAATGAGGCAATTGTTACATACATTATAGGAGTTACGTTTAAACGTTGAAAAGTAAGCAAAACCAAAATTTATGTAAATATAGATTGCAAAGTTTACCTTCTAACATAACAGTGTTTCCTTTGTATTCTTATTAATATTAAATCCTTTTTAATAGTGTCGTTTACTTCTCGTAATAAATCTGCATTTTTTTCAAGTACTAATAGCTGTGTATGTATTACCTTGTTTAGCAATAATTTTTTATTACAGTTCCTAGTTCGGTATACGTGTTTTATATATTACTTTTTTGGATTTAAATTTTATTCTATACGAAAACTGCAAGTTTCGTGTCTAAATTGATATATAAATAGTACTAAATATTCTGCTGCAGTAATAAAAATACTTTATTCTTTTTTTAGCTACTAAGTATGATCACACCGATCACGACTGCCTGTGTGTAGCCGTGTTAACACATGGAGATACAGGAATTTTGTATGCCAGGGACACGCAGTATAAACCGGACATTCTATGGACTGGTTTTTCAGCCGATCGTTGCCCTAGTCTTGCGGGTAAGTGTTACCGTAATTTTGGTCTATACTAAATATTATATACAGGTGTCCGAGATAAAATTCTGGGGCCATATATCTTGAGAACGCATAGAGATATTGAACACCATTATGTTTAGATTTCCCCTTCAAACTAAAGACAATAGCGTTACAGAATTTCAATATCTCTATCCGTTCTCAAGATGTTAGGCGGCGGAGTTTTATCTGAAACACTTGTATATACAAAAGTAGGTACCTAAACTGACCAAAACCAATACATTTCTTACGTCAAAGTTACTTAAAAGTCAACGTATTTAAACACAATACTTTAATATTAATTATACACAATTAATTATCCATTAAAAAAATGTAAAACGTAGTTTCTTACGCAAATTTGCTCATTAATTAAATCTCAAAACGTTGCTTAATTGTGGCATCACAAGCACGAACCTAACCTACGTTTTGATTGTCACGTTACTGATTTTCAAATGTTTTTGATTACTAATACCCGAAGTATTGCACAACGTGATAATAATTAGTATACTTACACCGTAACGTTATTTGTATGATGCGGATATCGAAATTTGATTGGATGACTGCAAAACACGGCAGTGGAATTGTGTTGAGTTTTTACTCTTACGTTTACCGAGTACATGTTGCGTGTTGTCCAAATGTTGTACATAAGTTTAGGTCTAACAATTTTTCTTTAATAAAAAACAACAATTTTTTCCCATTTATAAAAATCTTCTCATTATTTTTAGGTAAACCAAAAATTTTCTTCTTGCAAGCTTGCCAGGGAGATAAGTTAGATGGTGGAGTAGTGTTGTCAAGAACTGAGACTGATGGACACTTAGAAATTGATTCATATAGAATTCCAGCTCAAGCAGATTTCTTAGTTGTTTATTCTACTGTGAAAGGTTTGTGTTTATATCGCGACACATAGGGTATAAGATCTTAACAATTTATATTTTGCAAGGTTATTATTCCTGGCGTAATACAACAAGAGGATCATGGTTTATTCAAGCACTTTGTGAAGAACTAAGAACAAATGGTTTTGATAAGGATCTACTAACTATATTAACATTTGTGGCACAACGCGTGGCTTTTGATTTTGAAAGTAATGTTCCTGACTCGCCCACAATGCACCAACAAAAGCAAATACCATGTGTTATGAGTATGCTTACAAGATTGATACACTTTACAAGAGGGAAAGAAGGGTAGGATTAATATTTACTTATCTTGTTGTATTATAGTATAATGTTACTTCTAAATATGCGTACATATATATGTATGATGATTAGTATGTAGTCAGTGATGTAGAATGTTTTAGATTGTTTTGATCTCAATTTCTCTTCTTTATTTTTCACTTGTGAAATTCATCCAATTTTGCTCAATGTGTAGATAGATAATTCAGCCCTCATTTGACAGTTTCTTTACAATTTTCTATGTTCCTGAAAACTGCCAAACATGACGTAACCATAACAATTTTTTAGAGCGGAAGAAATTCAGAAACAAGGCCAAAAACAAGATAAACCTAAAGGCGTTTTTGGGGGAATATTTTCTAAGGGTAAAAAAGTTGAAAATATATTATAGTAGTATGTTTTGTAGTATTATAAGTTATACCCCAAATTGTGTTGATTAATTGCAATAGTATTATGTGATTTTAATTGTTCTGTATTTAAGCCGTGCAATGCATGACAAATAGTTCTGTGTTATTGAAATTATATGTACATTTTGTACAAGACAAGTAGATTCTACATGTATGTATTGACTTGATTAAGGAAACAAATTCATAGTTTATTGGACTTTAGGCAATTTTTATAATGTAAAAATTAAATCTTATGAGATGTTTGTTTGGGGAAGATAAAAATACATTATGTAAATTTAAACAATGTAGTTAACATTTTAGATTTTGTAGTATATAGCATTGTGATTGCAATTTGTGAAATTGAAATGTGCCATTGTCTTTCAGAATGTGTCTTATGAAAGTCTAATGTGTTACTGTTAAATATTGAAAGTATCAACGTTTTTAAAATTGTGTATACAATTCCATTTACTTAAATATATTCTTATACCGATCACAGTAGTGATCTTTTGTACAACGCTGGCTGTATTTTTACATTACATGTATTTTACCCTTGTATACACATTTACATTTTTAAAACATATTTAATGTAGTTTAGCAATAAAATTTAATGTACCTCTGGTGGTGTTTATTATTTAAAATTACTTATAATTTTCATTTGTTTGCATGTTGACGGGATATAAAATAATGCACGGAACGGAAGAAAATCGTATATAAAGATCTGACATTGGAAATTTCTGTTTCCATCTGTGCTAAATTTTGCAGTAAGAAAAAGATCATACGAAATGAACGGGTCTTCAATGAATTTTCCTATATTCAGAATGCACTAAAATTTTAATTTAAAGTGACAAATATAAATTATTGCATATATGGATTGCCAACTAACTATAATATAAGTGTAAATTCTATGACACCTGTTTGTGGTATTTAAAGCGTCAGATGTCACATTATACCACTAGAATGTATAATGTAACTGAAATGCTTAGAAAAAACTCAATGCGCCCCTGACATTTTACGCTTTCGTAGGACAAAGGACCGTAGAAAACAACAGAAAAAAAAAATGTGATGGAAGGTCAAAACTCAATTTTCAATCAACCAATGCTTGCTCTACCACGTGACTACCAATGATAAGTGGTTATTCTTGTCAATGTTATTGAATATCAGTAGTCTCCTTTACGGTACACAACGTGTATTTTTTACGGTACCCTCGCATAACATTGCCAGTAGGTTAAATAGATCGTACTATGGACCTAACGGAGTAGGTCAAATTACTTCATCTGTCCAGCTAGTAGATCCATTCACTTACTGTCAAAGAATTAGTGTTGCTGTCCAATCCTTTGAAAGAGGGCGCTCTTTTCGCGAAGTGAAACAATTCGGTAAAATGGTATGTAAAAATATCCAAAAAATACTTCACCATCTTCGACTTATTTGAGTGAAAATGCATTTGGTTTTGTGAAAATTAATATTCTGGACACGTTGTTGTAAAAATATGTGCTTTAATAACGTGTTTAATATATGTTTAGTTAATTGAGTGTTTCGTCGTCAGCATGGTTATGTGTTATGTAGATTTGTTAAACATTTAAAATACACATCAGATTTTTTGTCATTGATCATAACCCGTTATTCGGATTTATAAAGTTTTTTCCACAAATAAGACGAAAATGGTAAAATATGTTAAAATGTCATTGTGTTCATAACCTTACTTTCGGAATTTTGTAATGTTTGTTTGATTTTATTTTCAGACTGAAGGCACAGCTACAATTCGCACTCGCAAATTTATGACCAACAGATTGTTGTGTCGCAAACAAATGGTTGTAGATGTTTTACATCCAGGCCAGCCGTCTGTCAAAAAAACAGACATCAGGGAAAAACTGGCAAAAATGTACAAAGTAAGTGTTAAATCTTACAAAAGGAGATTCTTTTAGAAAATATCGTAAAGGACAATAGACAACACGTGTTTGATAAGTATTTCAGTGTTGAAAAACCATAAATTTTAAATCCATCTTATAAAGTTGAAAGAATCTTCTTAAACTTTAATAAATATAGTAGTAGTAGCAACTTTACTAAGAAATTCTTCTAAAAGAACATTTTTGTAATACGAAACAGAAACACCCCATGTTAAATCATGTTGTGAAAGTTTAAAACAAATCAATTTTCATAGCATATTCCATATTTTGCATTTCTCATGGATTAATATACTGAACAGAGCATAATTACCTGGTGAAGCTGAAAAACTGTATTCTTTTTTAAAATTTATCACACAGTACATTCTGTTGAATGTGAAATGAAAATTGTTGTCATATTTAGTAGATTTTCATCAGAAATGTCAATATTTTTTCATTGTAGGTTACTCCTGACGTAGTTTTTGTATTTGGTTTCCGTACAAATTTTGGAGGTGGTAAATCGACAGGTTTCGCGTTACTTTATGATACGCTCGATTTCGCAAAAAAGTTTGAACCGAAGCACAGATTAGCGCGACATGGGTTGTTTGAGAAGAAACAACAAACGCGTAAACAACGCAAAGAGCGTAAGAACAGGATGAAGAAAGTGCGTGGCACCAAGAAGAGCAAAGTGGGTGCTGCAGCCAAAAAGGTAAGCCTTGGAATTACAATTATAATCCAAAACTTTAAACAAAGTGGTGTATGCATTTTTTCAGTGCATCGTTTTCATTATATTTTACATAGGTTTTTTAGGATTAGTTTTATAATAGGATTTTTGTTATTTTTCTTTACAAATGTATTATTTTCAGGGCGGGAAGAGATAAAGCGCTTCTATATTGTTGCACCTTTAGGTATATTTTAAGATCAGGTTTTTGCTCGTTTTTTTTTCAGTGATGTTTGAGCTTTATTAGACAGCATGCGACTGACTGATGCATTTATATTGTGTTAAAAAAATGAAACTAAAATACTAAAACATCTTACTGCGGTAAAATATAACTTACATGATATACAGGTGTTCTAAGCAAAACTTATGTGCACCATTCTATTTTATTATTATTATTACGATTATTAGATACATATATTGTACAGAAAAATGTTTTTTCTAAAGTTTTGTTAATTAACCTGCTCTATCATATAAGGCGAAGATGAACCTAAATTTTTGGGTTTTTTTAAGTGATCAACAAAAATATTTTATAAAAAATTCACATTTCTAAAAGTATGCATGATGAGTAAGTATATCAGTGGCGGTAACGTTATAAAATTCAAATGAGTATGAATTGCAGTGATTTCCTTACCAATAAATATTTAAATTCAGAATGTAAATTTAAATAAATCAATAATCTGAACTTTTATATACCAGAATAACAATCATTGATGACAAAATCAAGTAATTTAAATGAAAAACTTACTTTGAGCTTGTTACTTTTGAATTTTACTGGTTTATTTGTAGAAATAAAAAAATCTAGGATGGACAAGTTTTAAAAACACCTGTATATATGGCGGTTACTTTTGAGTAACTTAGAAGCATATACATACATCCCTTTTTTGTTTTTTTTTATGCGTACAGAAACGTTATAATTTCATCATTCCATAAAGTGTGTAAATGAACAATGTTACAATGTGTCTCGACTAAAAATTCGCGTCAAATATTAGAAAAATTTGATTACGAGTCAGTCGTAATTAAAAGTGAAAAAAGAAACGATTATATAGATATTAAACATACCATTAAGATTTGAAGTATTAATTAAACAATATCTTTTTTTAAGAAACGTATAATGATTTATAGTTGTGACATGGATAAAAGCGAAAATTACTTCAAATATTGTTGGATTAAGTGTTAAGTAATTTCTCAAACATTGTTGTGTTCATTAATTTTCCTCTTATCTGAAGGAAATAATACCAATTCAAGACTTTTGTATTTATGAACTTTTAATTTATTAACAGTTTGTGCTCTTCTGGTTTGAATTAACCATAAATAATACTTCCACAATGTTTTTTGTGTTGTGTTCATCATATGTATGTATTTAATAGTTTTGCAGTAATGATTTAAGCTTTTAATATTTTTTAAGTCAAAATCTACTTGGTATTTAAAATTTAAAATTATTATTAAAATCTCATCGAAGTAGATTTTGATGATTATTATTCTTTAATTCACTGAGTAACTTTTGTTTTTGTTTCAGTAATGCCCTGGACATCTAGGCAGTTATTGTGTGGCATGTATAGAATATCGGACGTTTCCAATGATTTATATATATATGTTACACAATAAATAATTAAGTGCAGATTGTATTATTATGGAATTACATCCTTTCCATATATTATATATTTTTAAGTGTTTTTAAATAAATCTGACAACATCACGTGTTTTTTTATCATTAAACACTGATTTTTGGATTTGGATAAAACAAATGTTATATGTGCTCTTAATCACAATGAGATATCTGACTACTTCTATGACTTCTTAGAAGGATCTATACTTACCAAAGCCATTACAGCGCCCTCGGCCACGTTGGTGCTTATTCTGCTCAGCGCTGACTAGTTAACAACCACGTAATTTCGTTTGTGCCTTTCTTATGATTTGTTAAAAATCATCTCTTAAAAAATGCAAAAAATGAGTAAGAAAATTTACAAATTGAATAACCTTGAATAGACTGAAGATACTTTTAAAGAACAAAATCTGAAATGACTGAAGTCAGGTTAATTGGTTCGGATACCGACTACGAAATTAACTTACTAACATTGTATTCAGATATTTATAAAACTATCAGTAATTTACTGCTCACGTTTTTTAAAAATAAAACAAAAAATCAGTCAAAATGATTAAATTAAATTGATAAATTTGTTTGTTGTAGCCCGAGATAGTAGTATAGTTATTAGAGAGAAACTCCTGAGAAGGGTATGGCTGCTTTCAAAATAAGAGAATAAAACTACCTGGAAAACTGACTTGACTTTTAGGGTTTTTGAACAAATTAAACTGAGTTTGACCCTGGAATGATTGACAGCTTGTACCAAGTATAATAAATTACAGAATTACAGTAAGTGCGGTCCTGTTATTCCAAGTTTGAGAGACAGCGCTCTTTATCTTCATCCGAAAGCGATTTTATGGCCTACCTACCGCTTAGGGTTGAAAAACCCTAAAAGTCAAGTCAGTTTTCCAGGTAGTTTTATTGTCTTATTTTGAAAGCAGCTATACCTAAACGGCTTCTCATACTGGTGAGACTATCAAGAGTAGTGAGCCAAAGCGCGAAGAATGGTAGAAACGAATTAAATTCGTTCTTCTTATTCAGGGATTATGAAGCCATACCAAATCCCCTGCCTGGAATCCTACTGAGTTGCCCTTAAGGTCGTAGCGTGTTTTCATTTTGTCACTCGCCACCCAGATCTTGTAGCGCACCGTTTCGTGAACGCTCAGCTACTTCTTTAAGTCATCGATGTAATCTATGACCTCCTTTGGTTCTTCACTCGGAGAGCCAAACAAGATGTCACAAGGTAGACAAAGTTCTGTAAAAGAATGAGACCTTCTTTACAATATTTTATTTAAATAAAGGATAACTGCGTTATAAGTACGACGTAGGTACTCTGGATAAGTACCCTGCATCGTGCGTCATCATCTTCTGTCATGCGCGTCCCTGCGCCCTCTACATATTCTCGACCCTTATCGAGATGCCAAAGTTAAGTGGTATCAGAATTATTCCTACAGTTCTCTGCCGAAAACTATGCGCGCCAGCGTCTGACCCATTGTGTTATGGACAGCTGATCGATAAGCCAGTAGGAACAGTGGAAGATGTCGATTCCAATCTTTCTGATGTTCGGCCACCACGTTCGAGAGATGTTCTTCCATGGTACGATTGAACCGTTTTACCATTCCATCTGACTGCGGGTGCAACGGCGTAGTCCGTGTCTTCCGTATCCTTAGTACTTCAGTAACCCTTTGGAATAGGTTTGACTCGAGGTTTCTGTCTTGGTTCGAATGTATTGCTGTTGGGATCCCAAACCTGTTGATCCAATTGTCAATCAGCATTTTTGTGACCGTCGTGGCTTCTTGGTTCGGTATGGCATTAGCTTCGGGCCATTTGCTAAAGTAATCGTTAACGACCATTACGTACTTATTCCCACTGCTATGTCCACTGCAATTCTTTTGAAAGGGGAACCGACGTTGTATTGTTGCATCGGCCCTCTACCCCTAGTCCTTCGTTCCTTTACCGCCGCACAGGTCTCGACGTGGTCTCGACAACGGACCCAGTAAAATCTTTCCCTAACATTAGAAAGCGTCTTGTTTATTCCAAAATGAGCACCGGCACTCCCGTTGTGCATTTCTTGAAGTACGTTCTTGATTTTGATTACCGGAACCACCAACATCATGGTGGTTTGTTTCCCTCGCTTAAGCAATCCATTCTCGACACGCAGGGAATTCCACTGAGCCCATAACGCTTTGAAAGCAGGTGACTCGTCTGATATTTCCGCTCAAACTGGCCGTTCTACCCCATCTTCTTTCCATTTGAGGAGCGGTCCGATATCCACCTCTCCTTCTTGTTTTTTTCTAAGCTGAGCCGTTGTCCATTTCTCATCTTCTGCGACTGTTGTCCTCCCAAAGCTGAACGGCGCTTCGCGCTGATCAATCTTGTCGCAGTGTTTGCAGTTCTTACAGGGTTTTCTTAACAAAGAATTTGCATTATTGTGAAGCTTACTAAACCTGTGTCGGATCTTGAAGTGATATTGTTGAAGGCGTTCGAGCCATTTGTCCTTCGATATTGTTGATCTGAAAGAGCCATATGTAAGGGCTGCGTGATCGGTTCTAATCAGGAATTCCCGTCCATACAGATATTTGTGGAAATGTTCAACATCCTTGATGATCGCCAAGAACTCCTTTCTCGTGGCACAGTAGTTCTTCTCAGGTTTCGAAAGTACCTACGCTGCCGAAGTATTCGATGACTTTTTCTTCCTTGTCCTGCACCTGTGACAATACGGCACCTATTCCGATGTTACTCGCGTCCGTGTCTAAGATGAATATTCCCGATGATTGCGGATAGAACAGAATAGGACTAGAGCATAGTGCATTCTTCAGTCTTTTGAAGGCCGCCTCACATCCAGCAGCCAAACCTTCTGTAGTACGTGCACAATTCCAAAAAACTCCGGACTTCGTACTTATCTTTTGGTCTTGCCAATCGCGAATTACCCTGATTTTTTACTTCTTTTTGGAAGAGGAAGCATTTCTTGGGATTCAGCTTCAAGATTGCTTCCTTCATTCGACTAAATACTTCTTCCAGGTTGGTCAAGTGATCCTCAAATGTCTTTCCCATTACCATGATGTCGACTAAATAAGCCAAACATGTTTTTCATGTTAGCCCTCGTAATACCATTTCCATTAGTCTCTCAAAAGTAGCTGGAGCATTACACAGGCCAAAAGGCATTACGGTAAATTGATACAAGCCGCTCCCGGCAGGTGGATCCTGATAATGTTGTGAGTGAAAGCGGATAACTGTCCTTCTTGGTTACATCGTTTAGTTTCCTGTAGTCTACGCAGAACCGCGTCAACCCGTCCCTTTTGGTGATTAGCACTACAGGCGAAGACCATGGACTGTTTGACTGCTCTATAACGCTTTCGTCCAACATTTTTCGTATCAGTTGCTCGGTTTCCTCTTGTTTTGCCAAATGAAGTCTTCGCGGGGCTTGACAAATCGGTTGCGCGTCTCCAATGTTTATCCGATGTCGCACTATGTTTGTGTGCCCAGAGGACTGTCCAGATGCAAACATTCCACTGTGTTTCTGTTGAAATTCTCTTGCGACTTTCTGTTGATGTTCAGTTAGATGATCAAGCTCTAGGGCAGGAATTTCTAAGTCGCTTTTTATTTTTAATTCATTGTTATCAGAAAGATCTTCGTGGTGATGAAATATTTTTGTGACTAGTTCACAGATGGCAAGAACATCCCCACTCTTGATGTTCATGGCTTTGGGAAAAACATTTGCGAGGCGTACAAGTATATCACAATCGGTATTAACTAAAGCACTCGCAATCATGAGATTCTTCTTGGGGGTGTGCGGTGGTTGAATGATGCCTAGGGCAAATCCGGGTTTGATTTCTGCTCTGACTGTAACAATCGTTTCTGTACTTCCTCTAACTTTCACATTCTGACACACGATCAATCTTACAGGCTTGGATTCAATACTGCGTTGATTCAGGATAAACTCTTCATTGCCAAGACATAAACATTCTCCACTAGATCGACCGTCAATCCATGGCAGCTAGTCAAATCTATTCCCAAAATAAAGTCGTCTTCAATGCTAGCCACGAGAGCCCGATGTTTTATCTTCAGCTGTTTTATTATCAATGCAGATTTTTACTTCTGATTCACCCATGATTGGTGTCGACTCTCCAGTCACGGTCTTTAGTCTGATTGTTTCGGGCATAGGCCTTAGATCTTTAGCTCTTAAGATACCTCTACGTAGGATTGAGACTTCAGCGCCAGTATCAATCGTGATTACCATTCAAGTCCCATTAATCTTTCCCGGCATACTTGGACTACTGCCTTTGGTATTTTCACCTCCCTGGGGGCCTTATTCTTACCAACCCGCACACCTCCCAAAGTAGGTACTGGTTGTTTTTAAATTTTTGCTGCACGTTCCGTTTGAGGAGATCTCTGTTGTGTACTTCTCCTCGGAGCTGGTGATCGAGCACGACAATCGCGTTTGAGATGTCACTGGCGCGCACACCTATAGCATTCAAGGCGTCTCTTACGAGGCATACCATTCTCTAATCCTTGAGATATATCATCCATTTGTTGTGACAGTTTTTCCAGTATCTTCTTTATTTCATCGTTTTCTCCTATCTCTAGTTCTGCCACTCTATGTGGCAGGTTTTTGAAAAATTGTACGCCGCCGCCACTTCCAGAGCACGAATCAAGGCCTCAGATGATGTCTGATACCTTAATAGTTGTAGGACCTTCTTAACTTCAACGTTCTCTCGCAAGCCTCTCTTGGAAAGTTGGTGGTGCGTCGGAGTATGCAAGACGTACCAGTCTCTTGACATCTGCTTCAAACTCTTAAAGGGATTCTCCAACTTTCAGGGTTCTTGTCTTCACTAGGGCTGCAAAAACCTGTCTCAGATGTTCATCCCCAAATCGAAGTTCCAGAGCGGCAATTTAGAGCACTATATCTGTTTCTATTTTCTTCAGGCAGAGTTTGCAGTATCTCTAGCTACAAAGCTGTAGTTTTTTGTTCTTCTTCCCAGAGATTTGCCCTCGCTGCTACTTCGAAGTTCTTGTATGATGACCAAGGCGTCTGACCATCATAGGTAGGTGGTTGAATTGTTCTGGGGATCGACACCACATAACGTGAACCAGTGGTTGCTGCATTTTTCATTAACTTTTCGAATTTATTCACTTTAATCTCCATTTTGTCTTCTATACACATTTTCTCCGACAAGATTTTGCACAACCTTCAAATTTGTTTTTGTGTCCCTCATTTGTTCCTTAATTCCTGTTATTTCATTTTTGTTTGCTTCCACTTCCTTTTGGAATTTTTCAGTTAGACTGGTGATTATATGTCATTTTTTTGTTTGTCTATTGTTGCATCCATTATTTCCATTTTTCCGTTCACTTCTTCTGTTGTGCCATTCATTTTCTCATCCCGTGCGTCCATCTTTTCGTTCATTTCTTCTATTCTTGTGTTCATTTTTTCATCCATTTCTTTGTTTCTTGCGTCCATTTTTTCATCCATTTCTTTATTTCTTACGTTCATTTTTCGTTCATTTCGTTGTTTCTCACGTCCATTTTTCCGTCCATTTCTTTGTTTTTTGCGTCCATCTTTTCGTCCATTTTTCCATTCTTATTAGTCTCATTTTCTCGTCCACTTTTTCATTTTCGCGTCCATTTTCTCATCCATTTTTGCAAGCATAGCCATAATCTTTTCCTCCATTTTCCCAGCTTGACTCTCGTCTCGACAGGCATAAATTCTTCAGAATTCTTGTCCAATCTGCCCGGAAGTCGTAGTAAAATCAGTTATTAATCTCAAATCTCACTTCCGACACCAGTGATACGTTGATCGTAATTAAAAATCGACGTGGATAAAACTCAACAATTTATTTCGTAATAACTCGAATTTACAGCGATTATTCGTTCGAAGGTGGTCTCTATTTAAACCCATACTTCCTTCTAGATGTTGGGCGATCGGGGTCTTTCTGGAATACCCATCGCGAGTTCCGCTTCCAGGCTTTCCTTTAGTGAACGTCGCCTGGCCGCCGTCATGAACGATGAATCATCATTGCTGTACATATAGAAAGAACGCTGCAACAGTACCTAGTACAATTTTATTGGTATTTAAAAGTTAACCATGAGGGTTGGACCCACAAAATCATAAATTACAAATTCAATGCAACCCTGGATGTTTCTAGCCCACTATACACTGGCGGCACGCTCCTTTTATTGACGTCACTATTCTCCTGCATTGTCCGACAATCCCTCAAAGTAGCAGTTGTAAAATTTTACTAGGTACTGCAGTGGCGGCTCGTGACTATTTTGGTTGGGTCGGCCAGCAGTGAGTAACCCAAAGTTTTAAGACATAGAATACAAGAACCAGAGACCTCAAGTCAGTCATTATCTATAATTTGCTTCCTGTATAGTGTTAATTCATATAGTCCTAACAACTTGGTAAAACAAAATAAAAAATATTCTTCAAATAGGTATAAAGTAAAGCATATACTTATACAATATAAGCCATCTATAATAATAAAATACGACAATAAACTCAAATAAAAATGAAAATAACATTCAAGTTATAAAGTAACACATTCTAACAAAAAATATAACATGAAACGTCAACAACTATTTATTAGTAAAAAACAAAATTAAAAAAGTAAATTAGAAATTTTTATAAACCAATTCAATGCGTCTTTGTTTTGTATTGGCAAAGTGGTCAATTACTTGATTATAGAACTTTTGATCTTCCGTTAAGTTTGTAAGCACTTCTTTTTCTATTGCTAAAACGAATAATTTGGATAATCGATTTTGACTAATGGAGTTTCTAGTAAAATTTGTAATTCGCTTTAAAGCTGAAAAACTGCGTTCAACATATGCTGATGTGGATGGTAGGTATATGATTAAAATTAAAGACAGAAATAATTTCGGAGGCTTCTACATTTTCGTAAGTAGCATCATCAGGAGCAGGGTTGAGAAATTAGGAAGATGGCAAAAGAGCACGGTAACTCAATATGTCAATCGTACCAGACGACCAGAGGCAAAACTCTTTTTCTGAAGTTTTTTTGAATTTATTGTCAACATCATATTCAAAAATTAAACAATATCAACAAAATAGTTTGTTTTTTGACTTGCTCCCCGTCAGCCATTCATAATTTTCATACCATGCTGTATTAATTATTAATTATTAATATGCTATTGCACCGGAGCTGACGTTATTATTGCTCCGTGCTTCGATTAAATGTTGCATGCGCGGCTCCGAACGGGTCATTTCTTTTATATCCCAGGAATTGATCATCGTATGTTAAAAGTCGAAAGTCATTATTTAATAGATGTGTAACAGCATCAAAATTTAAATCAGTTACTAATTCTCTTACTAACTGTTGTCATTGTTACTGAAATTAGAAACAAACCTAAACCAATTTCATCCACGTGAAGACTGCAGAAATTCACAATATACAGACAGCGGCCGGCCGGTGCTGGTAGTGGGGAACCGCATGGAAAAGTGCACGGCAGAAGTGGAGTGATGAAACGTAATATTGTACGGTTTCATCGCTATTGCCTTCTAACTTATACAAACAGAAGGTGATAGCGCTATAACAACTTGATGTACTGCCAAAAGGCCGGCCGATTTTAGCAGACATTTGACCAATCACTGCTGCAGGCGCGTTAATCAGAGGGTATTAGACACGTATCAGTCTTTATAGCTATTTCTCTTTAATTCCGCTAAACAGAGAGCGATAGCAGATATGACATTATTCGACGTTTATTCTTGTAGTCGGCCGGCCTCAGCTGCTGCTCCTCGCAGTAAAAATATTTAAACTTCCCGGCACGATTTGTGCTTCCGAACGAAAGTGAATAAATTAGATAACGCTTTTTGTAATTAAAAAAATAATAACAACAGTAAAATCAGGTGATTTCAAAATAGCTTTAAATTATATTCTTGCGTTTAAAATAAAAATGAATATCGCAAATTGACAAGTTCGGTGACAGACTCGGCCTGGCCTAACTGGCCCCCCCTGACGAGCCGCCACTGAGGTACTGTTGTATTCTTTCTTTATTAGAACCCATAGGCGTCGTACCGGGGTGGCGTATGGGTTTCTTTCGTAACAATACCTATAATAATTATAATTGCACTTTTAATTCTGACAATTCAGAATAAAGCAACAAAATTTTGAGTATAATTTGACTTTAGACAGTTTTAACTAAAAAAAATGATCGAAATGAATTTTTTTCTCTGAATCTGATTGGTCAAATTTTTAAAAATAACTCGTTGTTATTGGCCCAAAGTACCTGAAGTAAATTATCCTAGAGATTTTTGTTTCTTTATTTAATATTTAAAAAATAAGTGGAAATTTTTTCAACCAATCAAAATCAGGAGCTGTATTTTTTTATTGTACATTATAGTACAGAAATATTATTTCTTAAAATGAAATTCACCATTATTATATTATAACTAATAATAGGTTGAAGGTTGCTAGGAATATTTTTATTACATCTTGGTACATTAATTTGAATGAAACTGTGAAAATGGAAATAGTGTAACTGTTTTACTGTGTCGTATACGATTTTCTTACCGAATCATGGAAATTGATCCTTTGAAATCTTTTCTCATGCATCACAATACCTAATTACTAATTAGGCGCTAGTGTTCCACTCGGGTTAATTAATACATGTGTTATTAAAATGCATTCGAAAAAATTTAGAAAACAATCTTATTATTATCTTATATAAGTGATAATGTCCGAAACTATTAGACTGATTAATCCATTTCTGTTTTCCACCTCATGTAGGTAGGTTTTTGGGGAAAAATTCAAAATTGTATAACAAAGTTTTACAATATAATTTATTAACTATACAAAACGATGATTTGTGCTTGTACACATCCTTATCGCACATGGACGTGGAAATCGTTATTCATCTGTTTACTATCCCTCCAACAATTGTATAACAATATCTCAAAATTTTGCTAAATAAATTCTGTTTAAAATGTGTAAAATAACATGCTTCTTTACGATGATTTATTAATCCACCCCTATTTTTAACATTTTGATGTGCAGTTTTTTGCGAAAAAAATGTAAAATTACTCAATAAAATTTTACAATTTAAGTTAGAGACTACAACACCGATTGCTTTGAAATTTTATACACTCTTTATGATTGTAATTGTATGTCAAGTATTTTCTGTCGTCATTTTGATAATCGAATGTTGACATCTCCGGCATATATTGTGATGCTTACTGCAATACTAAACAATAACAAATTGAAAATTACTTTTGAATACTACGCCCCTGTTAACTAACCACAGCGTTTCGCGTTTCCAAGCAGAAAACTAACTGCACCAACGAAAACTAATCGACGGTTTGATCAAACATTCTCTTCTTTAGAGTTTCTGCTTCCATTTTTTGAAATACAAGCAACAGTGTTGTTATTGTTAGTCTCGCACTGTCGGCAGCCAATTTATCTAATGTATTTGGCCTTGAGTTTTTCGCGTCGGAACAAAATTTTATTGAGAAAAGTTGATTTGAAGCATATGCATAGTGTTGGTCACTTGCACGCGGCAGTCTAATTCCCAGAAAGGTCATAGTCATAGGACACTTGCGCGCAAATAGGGATTATAAGGGTTTATTTAATGGTACTTAGCTGATAAGAAGAAATCGGCAGTCGGCACAGTTCTTTTACTCTTCTACATTACAGTACCATCAGGAACGAAAAAATTCGAAAACTGTCCTAGTATTCAACGTCTCTGATAGAAGTTATATAAATTAGTAATTATTACTATTACTATATGTATATATTATACATGTATGAACATGAACCCTTCTTCTTCAAATTTCAATTTGGCCCACTCGTTAAAAATCTACTTTTGATCCCTTGGACGATATAATTTAAATGAATAAGTAAATAGATGTACATTATTGGTTTTATTAAAGATAATTTAATAATATGTGTGACAGTATGGAATATGGGGTCGTCTAATACTGACTAGTCTCAGGAATTTTAGGATTTTAAGTAAAAATGGCATTACACAAAATTTTGGGATCAAGTTGATCTGAAAGTTACCATTGTGTGACATCTCTTTTATTTCTGATAACATCATTAGTTTTATATGACATCGTGTTTAACTGTTTACTAACTTCTGGCAATCTTCTGGTGCGAATTCGTCCCAAATTCTTGGTAGTTTTTCTTTTAGTGCTGGTATTGTTTTTGATGGCTTTTGTACGACGTCGTCATTTTTTCATTTTGTTTCACAGTGTTTCTATGGGAGACAAGTCAAGCTGTAAACCTATTTTAGCTAGTACATAGATGTTTTCTGTAAATCATCATGAAACTCTTTTAGACGTATTGCAGATCCTGAAAAATCACTGTAGGTAGTAAATTTTCTTCTGTCAATGATGTTTAAATATTTTCTTGTATTAACTGTGTTCTCCATAAAATGTAGTTTTCTTATACTTGTTGCTGACATCGACCACCACACCATAACAGATGTTGTAAATTTAACTGTTCTTTCAAAAAATTTGGGTGATATGTTTAATTTTTCAGTCGAATTACCCGATCTCTGCCATTGCCCACAGAAACGTCAAACCAGGACTTATCACTCCACTGTATGCAACTCCACTGTTCAATAGTCCCATTTTGATGTTCTTTAGCCAGGTATTATAATTTTATTGAAATAACCAGTGAAAATTACCTATTTACTTTTTATGTTCCAAATCTATGAGGTTCCGGATGACAAGTGAATCTTGAAATAAATTTTCCAATTGCTGCGCTTCTCAGTAAGATCAACTGTCTACAGCTGGAACGTATATTTTGGCGAATAATTAGTTTTAGTGTTCTCCTATCCATATCCGAAACTTTAATTTTTTTACATATCGGGGTTTTGGCGAGGTAGAATCGCTGGTTTGGTATAGACGAATAATATTTCTAACATTATAACATGATAAACCTGAAATTTTTCCAATTTCGCCATTGCAATGTCCTTGTTCACAAATTAATTATTATATTTTGAACTGCTTCATTAAATTCCTGTTCCTCGCACCACTGCTAACAACAAAATGGATTATTTCTACGCAATTAATAATACGAGTATCCAGTAACAATTATTTTTACATAATGCTGAACAACTACCTGATAAATACCAAAGAGTACCGAGTTTTTGCGAATGATTTGTGCTTGAAGAAATACAAAATATTAACCGCTAAACGTAAGTTTAATTTTATGCCAGAAAAACCGAATAGGAAATAAAATTATTTCGTTTTAAATGAACGCAGAATGTGTAAATATTAAAATTATAAGTACAACGTTCAAACAGCTTAATTTCCATGTAATATTTTTTATGCTAATTTACAAAAACTGGAATTTTGGCCGGTGGGACAACTGAAGTGGGAAGGGGCTCATATAAAAACAACAAGGTCACCAGATTTACTTTTGTAAAATGTGCTTCGAACGTAATATCTCAACAAACTGTTCAAATTTTACAAGATGAATATATTGGTAGAAAATTTAAGAACAGTAAAAAATTCGTTCAGCTCTATATACATATGTAACCATTATTTATTTCTCCTAGTATTTATTTATTTTTAAATGACCAATACACACGTAAACTGTTAGAATAGGCAATGACTGTTTATGGTATTAATCCTCAAAATTATATATATGCAAATCTTTCTGACCGCAGCGCACAACTAACCTTGCCTCTCTAGTTGCCGCGCAACTGTCCTACAGGATTAGGACCACTGTAGATTCCTTCTTTATCTGTAGTTTAACCCCTACTTTTATTTTTATTTATAGGAAAAATTGCACATTTTTTTTTCTTCTCTAAAATGACTTTTTTTGTTTAAAATATTCACCAGTTCTTTCCGTACGCTATACTTCCCATGTTTTGTTATGGCGTTATGTTACTTTTTTATTTTTTAGTATATTTTCTTCAATAAATAATTAGTAGCACCAATAAACTATAAAATTTATAAAGGGTGGTGGGGAGGTTTTTAAAGGTGTACTGTATATTATATGTACAGCAGAGAGATCTTTTGACGTTTTCTTATATAAACTTATACAAATAAAAGATCGTACAGTAAAAGATTCTTATTATAATTAATTATATCCACCGAAAGACGAAATACGACGTCTATGTTGAAAGTAGTAATGGAAATAGTAGTTTTTGTGACGTGTCTTTATGGATAGGTACTGAAATACAGGGCACTGCAAACGATGTTAAAAGTTAATTACACAGTGGATTCTATAAAATAGTATAACATACAATGTGTCTTTACGGATACTGAAATACAGGGCACTGCAAACGATGTTAAAAGTTAATTACTGCAGTGGATTCTATAAAACAGTATAACATACCCGTTTTTGCCTGGATAAACAGTCTATAAATTCGGCTGCAATTTCGCAGGTAGATTGGTCTTTCGTTGAAGTTTTAATTTCCGAATTGTTATTTCCATCATTTGAAGATTTTTGTTCAGGTTCTATTTGGTCAGCATAGAAATTGATTTCACGAACTATAAATAATGTCAGTACCATTTTGTAAACTGAAAAAAAATTAACTTAAACTTGCCAGTGCTATTAGTAAGAGCGTCATGACATCTATAAAGTTGATCCATGAGATCTACTGCTTGGAAATATACCACATTTTTCTTTATCCATTCTTGTATACTGTCATATGCCGGGTAATCATTTGCGTTGAGCTAGAAATGATATAGGTTCTGCTCGAGATTTATATTTATTGAAAGTATGTATGACAAAATTTAATAATGACCATTAGTTTTGGAAAATAAGTAACTAAATAAAGAATGGCCACATTGTTGAACCAAGTGCAAGGATTTGCTTATTTCATTGAAGCAGTTAAGTTATAAATAGATAATTAAATCCTTTACAAAAACTAAGGCGTATCACATAACACACTTAATCACATAGCATTAAACGATATAATTTTAAACCAAAGTCAGAATAGCGTTTGATCTTTTTTTGCGCTCACTCGGAAGTTAAACCATTTGCACATATTAAATTTACTCATGGTTCAAATTTTGACAAAATGTTTGCATACTACAAAAAAACTCATTGTGTTAAAGTACGTGGCATTATTGTAATCCTATCCAATTTAAGAAAATGAGATCATCACAACTTTTGATGCTAATTTCTTACCATATGTAACTGTCGAAGAATACAAATATAGTATTCACACTAAAACAAAAGTTGCATGTTAATGAACAAAAAAAAAAAGTTTACCACTCATTTTACCTTTTTTTCGTCATTTTCATCTTCTGTTGCTATTCCTAATTTTTTTTTCGCAAAATTTAATACGTTTTTCGAACGTTGCACAATTCTGTCAACTACTTCGATTTCTTCAGTCCAACAGTATTCTTCTTTGAGTTTTAATTCTGTAGGCTTATTACATTCTTCGTCAGCAACCTGCAGTTACTTGCTGTGAACACTAACAAATAGTAAACATAACATGTTACTTACTGCTGATCTGAAAATTGTAAAAACACAAAGGAGATGCAACGTTCTCATGTTTAATTGTTTCATTATTACTAGTTATAAATCTGTAATTGTTTAACACGATTTTGATAGTTGTTGTTAAGAGATCGGAGCACAAATATTTTTTTAAACAATTATTAGCTTTGTTTTATATTTGATTTTACAGATTTGACCTTCATTTTGTATAATCATACATAATTTTGTTTTGGCAGTAGGTGTATAATTTTAAAATTAACAACACTGAATGATATTTTTTATTGTGAACATCCTTTACGAATTTCCTGTTTCGTTGTCTTCTGCTTACTGGTTTAATTAAAATGTTATTGCATTTAACCATATTATACGTGACTATTAATCATATTTGAGTATTATCGTTTAGTTTTTGTAGGAGTTAAATTTTGAGAAAATAATTTATTTCTGGTGGGTTTTGTTAATTCGTAGTATTTATATCTAATTGTATTTCCACGCATTCACCTGGAATTTCACGTATGAAATAACAGAAAATAAATGATTTATTTCCGGAAAGATACGTAATGAAGTATGTATGGTTAGGTCATTTTTTTTACTTAGAATTTCGCGGCTTATAACAAAGGACATGGATTAATTATTTTTGTAATTATATTTCCAGGTAAGTTCAGTTAGTCTGTAATGATAATTTTGAAACAACAAAAATTTCATTGCCCTTCAAATTGATAACATGAACTTTCGATACAACAGGTGTGAATAGGATCGTCAATTTTCGAAAAACACCACTATTTGAGTGGTGAAAGTATAAGTGACACGGGTCATATAAGTACATTTTTTTTTGCTGTAATGAAATTGTAAAATGTTAAAGAACATTCTGTTTTATTAAAACATAACATAGCATCGAGTCCAGTGCTGAGCTGAAAGAGGTAGTGTAATAGTAAACAATAAAATTGAATGCTGCAGAATCAGTTGTTGTAATAGAGCGACATGCTTATTAACAGCAGTTTTTGACCAAAAACAATAGCAATGCCAAAAATAACTTCTGTTCTAGTGAGAAAAGTAGCATCAAAACTGTCGTTAAAAATAATACGGTCATTTATTCTCGTAAAGGTCAAAACCTCATAACAGTCATAACATAATATTTAAATGTATTTATTTACCAGTTAAAAATCCTATAAAAAAAATTGTAAATGTAAAGATGAATTAACGAAGCTATTCGTTCTCAAATCGTTCACAAATTAAAAAAATGCAGATATGTATTTCACTAATGTCATATCAGAATCTATGGAAAACAAAGGACCAAGAGCGAAACTTGGAGTGACACCATTTTTTTAATGTTTACAGAGACTTGAAACTATTAATGTATTGATAACGTTAAGTCTATTGCCATCAAAGAAACCAAAATATTCCAGTTTTTGTACTAAGAGGTGATAATCAAAGATAAGATAAGAAAAATCAGTGCAGTGCAGTGTAGTGCAGTTTACATACACTTAATATTAATTAATGATTATCTAGAGGATAATACAAAAACTGCTGTAATAAGTGGAATATCTAATTTGAACACCTTTTAATAAATCTACAATATTGATTTTAGTTTAACATCTGAAAAAGCTATTTCAAATATTTTTTTTACAAAGGCAAAATCTTAAATTTTCACAATTTTAGAACATGTGCCAGTCTTAAAAATAAGACTGAATATAACACTACAGCTTTATAAATACATCTGCACAATCTCTTACAGCAAAAACCAGCACCTGATAAATCCTTAGCAATCCTAATAACAGTAATAACATACTCCTGCACTTGTGGATTATGAATCCGTGTTTCTTGTCGAATTTTTACTTTTAACATCAAGATTTTTGGAAAAAAATCAAAATTGTATAACCACATTTTGCAATTTAATTTTGAAACTGCAAAACTGGATTGTCCGAAATCTTACAAACATTTTGAGGTCATCGTGAGCAGTTGTTAATTATGCCTAATTAATTCGTTTATCATCCACCCAAATTAGTGACGACATCTCAAAATTTTGCCGAATAAATCCTACCTAAAATATGTGAAATGTTACGTAATACTTGTGGTTTATTAATGCATTCATATTTTGTTGGAAATACTTGTTAGAATTACTAGACAGGGTAATAATTACAGAATGAAGCAATTTATTTTATTGTTCAAGTCAAAGACATCTTACCTCATTTTCCCGAAACTTAGAGTATACAGTAATATCATATAATAATAATAATTGATATAAGTGTCCTTGCTTAAACGTTGATGACGTTATCACAAAATTGTGTTATGTAAAAACTCACTTGAAACATCCCACAACATGTTTCTTTACCTGTGTATTAACAGTCCACACAACCATTTAACTTATTATAGGGGTTATCATAAAAATAAAATTCATAAAATTAAATAAATATATAGTAGAACTATACTTTTTCGAAGTTGTAATTGTTCTCCTCTTTTTCAAGGGCGAGGGAAGTTCTGTTTAAATAATTTTGGACCATGTTTTTGGCACGTGTTAAATTGGCTAGAATATTTTTATATATTTAACACGTTTTACAAGCGCGAAATACCCAAGACTGTGTATCATTTGGTTGGATGAGGGCCGAAGTGTGTTACCGTTTTTAGAAATGAAAACGTTGGTCTGTTGATTATTTATTTACCGTGAACAATAAAAGAATGTGTAGGATTTATCAGAAAGTGGGAATTACAATCTGCTTCCACACAAAATCAAGTCTTGTCGAAAGTGCTGAAAGTAGAACGTCATCGCGCAAATTAGCTCACCGGTTTGAAACGTCGCACATTATTAAGGTATTAACAGGATTTTGGACAAAATCACTTAAAACTGTCTATCGAAAAAGCACAGCTGCGTAACTTGAAGGAATTTCCAAGTGCTGCAGACATTTTATTAGCCATAGATTAATCGTTTATGTCCCTCAGGCGCTGGCTGTTGAAGAATTTTGGGCATATCACATTAGAAAAATTTATGGCAATATTGGCAATGATTTCTTTACTTTATTAGTGAGAGGATGTTAAAATAGACCCCGATATACTGAAATAAAATCCACTTAGTAGGTTTCGAGATGATCCTCAATGTATAGCAAAAATGTTACTTTCATTTATCAGATTATTAAAGGTCAACATTTTGAATACTTAATAGAAATGAATTATTTTTGTTAATATATTTTTTATAAGAACTTAAAAGTGTTGCATTCATCGCGTACAAAATTTAGAATTTCGTGTTGGCATATGGCTTATTCTCAAAAATTATGTACGTGGCGGAGTGTTTTTGCATATTGTCACTTATGAACTTTTTTATTGTCTTTATATTATTTCTTACAAAATAATATGTTATAATATTCTAATTTTGCCTTTCAAAAAAAAAAAAAAAATGGTCCAAGTTTATTTAAACCGAACTTCCCTCGCTCCCTAAATACATTCAAACTAATGTATAATTTTTCAAAAAATTATAAAATTTGAGTTACTCTATGATAATCGTTATAAGTCAAAAAAATTGATCAAAGGTTATTTTGACAAAACTTCCCTTATCCGTAAAGCGTAGTCCAAAAATCCTGCTTTTTTGAAAAATTATAAAATCTGATTTTGGGGACTTTTCTGCGATTTTTGTTTTGTGATAACTTCTATAAGGTAAAAACTCGTGACGTAGATAACACTTCTCCAGCTGCTACGCCGCGGGGGCGCAAATTCCAAGGGAGCGCGATCCGCAAAAGTGTGGACAATATGAAATATATGTAAGTATACTGACCCCCAAAAAAACCGACCACTCGGAATATTTGGTACTGTTTCTGTTACTCTCTTAAATTAAGTTTAATTCCGTATTTCTCTCTTTTTTTTAGCTAATTTTTACATCCTGTGCCAACAGTAAATTAATAATCTTGAAAGTGATTTTGCGAAATATTTTAGAGTGTTTGTTTTTTTACCGGTCAGTATACTTAAAGCAGATAACCAAGCCGAAAAAAATCTATTCTTAATTTCTTAGTACATGTTTAACTTGGACTACTCATATCTCGAAAGAATTCGACTATTACGTTGAGATTACAGTATCAGTGACGGCATTTGTGTTAAAAGAACATGAAAATTGATGATTTTGTTTTTTCAATGCAAGATAAGAAGACCAATTAATGAATTAATTGACCACACTCGTTTTATTCCCAAAAAACTGGATGTCTACTGCAAACACTCATACATTTGAAGAATAATTAAAAAACAAAACTTTAAGATAACGTCATCATTTTTGGGGGTAGGGCATAAACGAACAAATTTTGATTAGTTTTCTAGTTTCAAAGTAAAATTGTAAAATTTTGTTATCCAATTTTGATTTTTTCCCAAAAATCTGGACGCCCGGGGTTAAAACTCAAAACGTATGCCCAAATCACACATGTAGAAGTACGTTATTCTTAAAATTTAAAGACCTTTTATTCAAAATTGTAAAATGACGTCATAATTTTTTGAGGTGGGGCACTAACGAAAAAATTTTGATTAACGATTTACTATGGTTACGATAAACCTTAAAAAGTTTGCACGATTTCAGAGCATTCTGTTTTTAACAATTTGAAAGTTAAATTGCAAACATTTACTATTATTATAAATTTTGGACATGATGTCATCTCATTGTTGGTGAGGATGACTATATTTTGATCAGAGTTTTACCATAAAGACGATATTCCTAAGATACATACAAAATTTTACAACAATCGGTTCAGTAGTTTCAAAGATTATCCGTCTAATAAAAATTAACACAGACGACAAACAGACCTATGGAAACTGGACACCTATTTTTTCGTACCCCAAGGGTCAAGAAAAGTCGAGAGGACATGAAAGTAACCAGTCTACCTAGGGACCCTATTGCAGTACCTTCTTCGCTTATGCTCGGGAAGTAACAATAGAAAAAAACTATTAGGTTAACGTTCACTGATAAAAAAATGAGGTCAAAACTTTGTCATTTACCAAAAAATTTCGGATTACTATAGTAATGTAGTGTTGCGGTTTGACAAAAACAAACGCGACCCACTTTCAGGCATTAAAGTATAAATGCATACATATACAAAGGTAATTATTATTATAATCATGTTTTACGACAGTAACTTGTATGAGGTTTGTGCAGTAAATTCTAGTATGTATTTTGTTTATTTAATTTCATGAATATATTTTAGTTTTCTCAATAAGTCATCTCGTAATCGTGACCAATTATCTATATTCTTTATGTTTTGTTATGAACTGTATATATGAATATACAGAATGTGGCAAATAAAACCCCCTGTCTCGTATCTTAATAATGAATAGGATATTGAAATTTATAGCAAATTGCAAATGTGACGCTTATTTGGGCGTCGTAACACTAAGCTATATTTTTTTAACGGATTTTTATAGATCATAAAATTATCATTGTAATGATATAAAACACTCTGGTATTTACCTACTTCATTTTCAGTCGATAAAAACTATGAATATAAAAAAATTAAAATGACTGAAACGAAGTACCTATGCATTTAAAAGTGTAGTATCAAAATATCAAGTTAAATTATAAAAAAAGACAATTGGCAGCACTGATTTTTTACAAAGACAAAATTTCTTTCAAATTCATTCGTCGTCTGTGAATAACAGATCCAGATTCCTTGCGAGATGCGAACGAAGATACTCGACAGTTGTCGAAAACTTCCCTAATTGTATGTCGGAAATCCCCTAAATGGTACAGATCCAATTACATATGTATATATATTTGATGACATCTGTTAGGTACTTATGGTTTACTCTGATTATACTTACGTCAAATTAAGCTTTTTCATTGTATCTCGATTAAGTAGTTCAACAGTACTCGTATATTATGTAAACGTAAAACTGAAATTTAATTGAAAATATTTTTTTATTATTATTTAGTAAGGATATAGGGCGAAAAATAATATATTTATGTATAACTGCATGACTTATTTTTTTTTAGTAGGAATAATAATTATTATTTTAGTATGTTTCACAAGTTAGTTGAATTGAAAGGACATTGATAGTTAAACACAAATTAATTTTATAAAAAAATTATTTATTTCAATGCAGATAACATATTATCCGGACAAAACATTTAATATGTATTTTTTAATTCCTTCTCTCACGCCGGTTCTAATTGTCTGTATTAATCCATTTGAGAAATCTCTGTAAGACTTCCATCACAAATTTGGCAGCTCGATCAAAAAATCCTGGCTTTGGTTCTCCAGCATCATCGGCTTCGTTACCATCACTGCCAAAATCTTCTTCAGCTTGTCTCACATTTCGGGACAATGTGTGGGGAACGGCATTTGCATTTTGTAATAACGAAGACAGTTCTTTATCTTGTTGTAAAAATTCCACGAATTTTTGTTCAAGGTATCGTTCATCTTTTAAATTATTTGGTGCCTGCAATCAGTAAGAAACAGGTTAATTGAAAGTGTGTTTTAAAAGACAATAATAAATTTTGGATGAACCAAATTTTCAAAGTTGTAGCATCATTTCAAGTTCAGGTCAAGTAAGTAGTGGTGAATTTGAATTTTATTTAAACATATAGGTAAATATATTATTTGCCATGAGTCAAAGTGTAGCTTCAATTCGAGACTTGCAACTTCAGATTAGAAATGATACTTAAAACGCGAAAATGTTAAACTTACCCCGAGTACTGTCTGCAAAACGGTGAAAATTAAGCAGATACTGATAACTACTTTTAAACTCATTTCTATTGATTTAATACTTATTCAGTAAAAAATGAATCATTGTCCTGGGCAATTTGTTTATATAGTTCTCATAAAATGCGCAGAACCTGTACGCATCAACCACCATGACCGTGAAGGGTTATATAATCAGGAAAATCACATGTTATATTGTTGGTTACTGGAATCGAATAAACATTCTTCCGGTGTATTATTAAATCCGTTCGCAAATTGACATTGAAATTGAATGTAATTTGTGATAAATATTGTTCTATATAATTCATTGCATGTTAAATTGTCGTTTTTTTTAAGTAAATACGAAAAAATTTGATAATTACCTTATATGACTTGGTACTTTACGTATGTATAGGCTGTTCGGTAATACATCAACTATTATTTTCTAAAACTTTTTTTGAGCAGTTGGATGGGCACATCTGCTTGAAGTTTGCAGACAATAAATTGGTCTGAAAAGATTATCCGTATAATAAAAATTAACACAGATGACATATCAAAGCGTATCTGTATCATATGAATTTTCTGTACGAGTAAAAATTATTGAAAAGTTCAACTTGTCAAGCTTAGGCATCCTAGAAATTATTTATTTATTCAATACTTTTATTATAAGCACGAAGTAAAAACCAGCCGTTTGAGCACCTATCGAGAACAAATGTTTTTTTTTTATTTTTATTTTAATGGTAATTCTTTCCTTTACTCATGGACTAAATTTATGCATTTAGTTTACATTACAAGTCGACATTATAGTGGCGCAAATTAGATTTATCATAGTAACATCAATTAGATTACTTATTATAACCTAATAATATGTACTATGGAAAGTGGACCTTTAGCTATACTATCAAGTTATTTGACTGAGGTAAAACAAATTACTTAATATGTACATTATTGAATGCAGAAGAAAACACTTTTTTTAATGATATTAAATTTAGTCTATACTACAAAAAAAAAAAAAAAATTAAAATGAAATAACATTGATGTTGAATTTCAGAAATTATTACTGAAGGCGATAACTTTAAAAACTATAAGTTATATATCTGAAATTTTATATACCAAGCCCATGTAAAATTTCATGTACCTACAATAAATGGTTTCAGATATTTGATCGTTTCACACTTTCGTCGTAGACTGTACCTTTCTATATCTTTCGTATTAAAGTAAAAACAGTTACTGCAGTTTATTTATTAATACAACTCAGAATATTATTAGGGTTCGTTAGTTTTTAAGTACTTTCTAAAATAAGTTGTAAGTAAAATTTTACTGCAAAATTTTGAATATTTCTACTACATCCAGTCAAAATGTATAAATTTTTAATCTTGAAAAAAGTTCATTATGTGGTTTCTTAAATAAATGGTAAATTTTGAATTTCTAAAGTTAACTTTTGTAGGATAATTCTCATACATATTAAAACAAAATACAGCTGAATTACAAACGGAAATACTTTGGAATGCTGGAAAATCGCTGAAATATGCCGTACTGATGAGACCAAATGAGGTCGAAACTGCAGTCTGAGTTTTTCAGTTGTGTTGTCTAGCTTTTCAAGATAGAAATTCTTTAGAGATTTATAAATTATAATAAACGGGTGAGGCGTTTCTCTCACGTGGATAGGGGGATTAGCGTCCGGTGGGGACTCTTGTCCGGGAAGTAGCTGTTTTCATCCACGGTTGGTTCGATTAACATGCACAATGGTTTTTGCTACAAAAATGTAACGCAGTAAGTCACTACCAAAATCCTTTATCTATATTTCACTAATATAAATTTTATTTGAACAATCCTGATAATAACAATATTGTATTCCTAGAATTTCAGAACAACTGAATAGGCTTTTTTTAATTAATGGATAAAGCAATTGCAGACGTATCCGAGTTGCGCCCACTACCTGAGTTTCAAGCTTAAAAAGTCCGAATTGCGCACTCTTTACTGTAAATGAATATTCCGAGTTGCGCCCGCTACGTGACGATATTATCACATCTATATATAGTGAACCAAGAGTTATAAGGTTATATGGCCATCATAAAATCATCCCATTGTGTCGAAGTTAAGTTGTTTACAATAGAAAAGGTTTTAGGGTCGTAAATAAGGTGTCCACTGCAGCTCGACCGGCTCTTGTGGTTTCGTTCAGGGGCGGCTTTCACTAAATATGAAAATCCACCACTCCACTATTTCTTTACTACCTGCAGCCGCTGACGGTTCCGAAATAACCACTCGCTTTGAAAGCCGGCCCTGTTAAATATGAGCAAGAAATGTTTAGAAGATGATTTATTGCCAACCAGTAAGCTTAGTGCGAACCACACAAAGGGGGTATTTATTTGCGGTCAACTACTTTTATGATGGCCATATAACCTTATAGGTCTTGGTTCACTATACTTCGATTTGTCTTTCCTGAAGCAAGTAAAATTATGTTGGAACAAACCCAATGTTTTTTTATAACTTCTATAAGCATGGTGCTTTTCTTCATTAAAGAAAACCAAATTTTTATATAAAACCAAATTCATTTATTAGAATAACAACATTTAATATTCCTACAAAAAATCAGCTTATTACTATTATAAATAATTTGATTGTACCTACAGCTTATTTTTTTTTTACTGCGCTGAAACATTTTTAACAAAACTGGAACGATCAGTAAGATCTGTATTTTTTAATATTGCTTGTTATCGCCGCTTGCTTTGCCAAAAGGTGGTTCTTATTTATTTTTCGAATACTTTGACCTACATTGCATATCAAAATAAAAACTTCCTCTTGCAATTTCGTTAAAACTTTACAGAAAGTAAAAATATTAGGATAACAAAAACTAAATGAGCCATTAAATTTCACGTGGATGCTTCGGAAGCTTCGTCGCCGTGTGCCCACATGGTAGGAGAAAAGAGCCCATTGGCATCGATGTAATTTTCTAAAAGATAATCACAGAATGCCCTAATAGCGTCTAGTCCATTTGATATTAGATCCTCAAAGAAGGCATCCTCAATTTATAGGTACATTTTAGGTAAGAGTAGAGTAACATTACTGTAAGAATGACACCTCAATAAAACTTCGTCAATTCATTGTTACAGTTCATTTTATGCTTATTTGTGTCTACATAATTGAAATACCCTGTAATGAGGTGATGCAACACTGTGGAGCGTCATTTTTACCTGGATTTCTTAGGGTCTAAGGATGAGGTAAGAGAGCATTCAGGTAGTGAGACCAATTCGGACATTTCCCGAAGGGTAAAAGGGCCCAACTCCTATCTCTTTCAGGTCATTGCGTAATTCGGACTCCCAGGAAATAGCTTCCTTTATTAATTTTTAGCCATTCGTACATACAATTTCAAAAAATAAAAATATTGGACAAACAACACTCAAAGTATATTCGGTTTTCATTTTCCGAGGAGAAGACAGGGAAGTATTGTAATAATGTCTAGTCAACAAACGTCAAATTTGATGTTTTTTTGATGCTTTATAACACCTAGACTCTCTAGAGTATGAAAAAGTAAATCCCCCCATTGTGTCTGTCTGTCGTCTGTTGGCGTTTTTTTTTAGACAAATAATCTCCGAAACTACTAGACTGAGAAAACCTCATTTCAATTTTATAGAATAAAATGCTTCTATACTTGTACGAGTAGTTTATGAATTTACATTTTTCCGATTCTACCAAACAAAATATTTTGAAGTCTTGCAAATATTTTAAGCTTGACATAGTAAATCGCCAATAAAAATGTAGAATATTAGCTATTTATCTCTTTCAAAAAGTTATAAACGTCATCTCAAATTTTGCTAGTTTACCTACTTTCCTGAAATTTTGGAAATACAGTACTGTTGTTCAGAGGCGTATCAGACCATCTGGAAATCCGGAATTTTTTAGAGACGCCGGTAGCCATAGTAGATTAGGCTCCTATTCCACCATTCACTTTGGAAATTTTGCACTCTGCTCTTTTCACTATTCAAACTAACTTTCCGGCAATTTGGAAAGTGGAACAAAAATTAACAATAAAGTACAAAGTTCTTAGAAGTTTCACTCTTCATTTTACTTTGTATTTACAAAATAAAATTTACTGAACGCAAAGTCAGTTTGAAAAGTCAAAAGTGCAAAGTGTAGTAGAGTTGCAAAGTGAATGGAATAAGGCCCAAAGTCCCGGTGCCCGAATCCAAATTTTAAATAAATTTGAATTAAACAACATTTGTCAAAAATCGGCCATTTCGGTTCAGGTGTGTCGGTCTAAATTTCCTATACATATTAGAGATGTATCGACTACAGTCGGCCGACTATTTATAAATGCAACAGACAGTGGGTTTTTTTTTCTATTTCTCTGACTACCTTAAAAACTTGTTTTATTTTAATAAAAGGAATAACTGAAGTTTCTTTTTTTTTCCAAAAAATGTGTTAAATTTTTTTGAATAATTTTAACACTTAATTTTTTGTAGTAACCCAGTACAAAAATAAAGAATAACACAATTTAGGGCAGTTTATACAATACTTAACCAATTTTAACCATTTTTTTGGAAATTTTGAATTCGCTTTGCGTGTTTATTGGACCATATATCGTGACGGCGATTTCAGAATCGTAACTAGCGGAAGATTATCTACACTTTGACACCAATTTTCGGTCGATTAAACTAATTTTAACCGGTTTTGACAAAGCCGACTAGTCGGCCGACTGTAGTCGGTACATCTCTAATACATATACGTTGATTCAGCAGGTCCTATCCGTCTCTGCTGTTTTTATTGGTATTATACTGTACCTACCCAAACTGGCATATGTGTCCTCCCTCAAAAGCGGATGATGTCATCGCAAAATTTTATTATAAAATATTCTTTTTATAATAAAATTTTAAAAAGAATTCGGACAATTAAATTTTAAATTTTATGTAAGAAAATAACGTTGGACTGATTTTTGTATAATTTTTCGAGATGATGTTGTCAAATTTTTCGATAGGATAACATATACATTTTAGTTGATGTTCTGTAATTAACTAATCAAGTAATCACGTCAAGCTAGTATCTCGCCCAAATGTCAAAGAGATCTCGTAGGTAGTTCTAGGTCAACACTTTGGTAGTAAACCACTTTTGAGCATTGATACAAATATGCAATGGTATAAAAAGTACTAAGAAAAACTGATGGAGAAATTATGAGAGGTTGAAGGGTACAATAGTAGGGTTAGTAACGATTATATCGTGAACCTGGAAAGAAGCAAAACGTAAAATGTAAAATTATTAAAAAAGTAAATATGAACGATACGTATAGATAAGATACACAAAATAAACAATAAAAAACAATAATAATATTAATAATGTAATCATTATCTCTTATTTGTGAGTGCATTTAGAGTGATTTTGATAGTTTCAATTTGATTTAAAATACACAAGTATTTGAAAGCCACTTGATTGTGTCATTTCATCGACTGCATAATTTTTTAAGAGGCAATTTTCGATTTTTTTTTTGTTTTACCCATCGAGAGAATGTTAACGTTTCGTGAAAATAAAAAAATAATATTCGACTTTTTTCTTGCTGAATCAAGAATTTTTTGATCGGGTATTGTAGCATATACATGAGACATGACTGCTACAGTCTGTAGCAGCAATTTGACAAAAGTTGATTTTCCCAGCATTCTTCAAATTTTTCCCGAATTAGTAAACCATTTTCCACTCATTCACTGCTATTTCCATAAATTCTTTTACGACCATCAATAATTCCTTTTGTCTGACTCTTAACGTCATGTGCTTTAAATTGTCAAACCACGTTTTATCCAAAAAAAAGATGTTTCGTTCACGTTGTTAGTATGCTATTCTGAGATGAACAATTCTTTAGATTTCATGTTTCATACATAGCATAGTGAATTACACTGAGGCAAAAATAGTCATTAGTTTCTTTGGCAAATGTAGGTGTTTTATAACTCTGACTTTTCCAACTCGTTCGTATGTGAACAAAGAACATCTTAAACTGATAATGCTAAAGATAATCCGGCCCGGTCTAAAAGCGGCGTCCCAGTCAAACATATATAATCACTGTTTTTGTTGCAATACACATAATCATTTACTTATCTACTACGCTTTATAATGAATAATAAAATAATAACATCTCACTAATATACGCTTTATAATATTTATTGCAGTGAAATACGAGTTTTAAATGTTTTGTGACACTAAATAAAATTGTAAGTGTTTTTCCAATACGGGATTTTACCTGCTACTGGTGGAATGTCACAGGGAAATAAAATTTTAGTAAATATATGAGTACAAAAACTGACGTTTGTGGTTACTTCTGTGTTTGCACCAATAATAACGCAATAAAACTTGTTGGGAAGCACTGACAATGAACGCTTGCGCCGTCATTTAATTCATACCAGGATATCACCGACAAACGTATAAGAGTCACGCTTGCATGCACGCGACGAGGACAGCTCATCCGGCGTGCCACATTTCTAACTTCAATGCGGCGTACGCTGGCAAAAAAACTTCACATCAAAGTTGTAGTTTGAGGCGTTTGTGTCGGTGTCGGGTGCAGTCAAAGCAACGCTTCGCTTATCGAAAACGAGTGAAAACAATTGTGATAATTCGCACTGAACATGGTTTAAGTGTTCCGGGAAAGGTGTTGTGCAAAAATTTCGCAGTGACATAATCAGAGTGCTATAATCGCGATGGCTTTGGGTAACGGGAGCACCCCGAACGGGGGTGTTACCCAGGAAAAGGCCCCGGTGGTCAACGGGACTAACATGGAAACGCTACCGAGAGCTGGAAAACAGGTAATTTCCCACAGATGCTGCAGCGAAAGAACCAACGAGACGTCGAGCTTGTGGCATGCATTTGCGGCCGCTAACGTGATGAATGCGTTAATTGCTGCCATAAATGGAAGATTACGTAAACTTTACGTATCTCTTTAACCGGTAAAATTGGAAATTTTATCGCAGATTTGGCGGAATGGAAAGGGTTGCATGCAGACAATTTGGACGCGGCTGATTATCTAATTTATTTGATTGTTGTAATATCATTTTTAAGATGATTGTTTATGTTTACTGTAATCAAGAATAGAATAAATGTAAATAAACATTGGGTTCGTCCATGTTCGGAATGGCCAAGGACACTTTGTTGCTTAATTTGCAAATGTGTTTTCTGTAGTTCGAGTAAAATTTTGATTTTGTTGGGAATTCTCGTGTGATGAGCAACCTATGACTCATTTGTAAGTTGCATTCGAGGTGCCTTTGCAGCTTGCAACTTGCAACAAGCCAAAATTAGAAAATGCGATTGGTGCGATTAGAGATTAAAAGAAAAAATAAGGCGACTTGATGACTTGATCAAAGAAACAGTTTTTTTAGAGTTATAAACAATTCGTGTAATTAATTACACATTATACCGAGAGAGCAATAAAAACACGATCAAAGACAACCATCGATTGTTGAAGATTTGTCTTTGATAGAATTTTCATCTTGTCAGATTACCGTCAATTTGAAAGTTTGATTTGAAAATGCAAAAATCAAAGATACATTTTCAAAAATCCATGGCTGTCTTTGGTGGTGATTTTTATTGCTCTGTTGGTACCTTTTTGAGAAAGGTCCTGATTTAGTATTTTTAGGTTCTTACTTATTACTAGAAAACGTCAGATTTCTATAGAAACTTTATAAAAAAGCAGTTGACAATAGAGGTTTTCTTAGAAACAAACTTGACATATGCATAGTGTTTTTTAAGAGACCTACATTAAATCATACATTTCAAATTAGGTGCCGCCTACAAGTGATGACATTGTTAATTTCAACATGCCTGTACTTCAGTACAAGTTTAGTTTGGAGTATGCAGCGCCCACAAACAATGCCAATGCATTTTATGTGGGATATTTTGCAGCAGTATTGCCAATTCCCCAAAATACCCAGAATTATCGAAGAAGTTTTTTTTTTCAGGTTTCATGCGATCACTAGATCACTCAGTGGTTGCTCGTATTTTTATTTTATGTCGCTAAATAAAGCATAATTTTGAAATCACGACGAAGATGCGTTGAATCGTTCAAAGTCGAGAATTGCCTTATCCATCACTTTTTGTTATGGGGTGCGGAGATTGGGTTGGACATAGTATATACATTACATTTGAAGGTGTGGCAAATTCGCCATGTGCACGAATAAGAGAAAAACCCAACTGATTTATTGGATACAGTAAGAATGAAGTTGTTAGATTCAAAGAGTGGTCGAAATAACGCATACAACAAGATGGTTCATTAGTGCCACCATAGCGACATAAAATGCACCTGTTACAAGGTTACCAAAATTTGTGTAGGAAAGTGATATATAAGTATACTATATGCCTATATATATAAAATACTTGAAAGACGCAGATAAAACTTGGTAACAGAAAAATGTCATTTGCGTCAAAATTTTCAGAAGATCAGTATATTGTAAGGCAAGCGACACTCAGAGACGTTGGTTTAGCCACAATTCGTTGTGTGGTAACAATTTAGGTTAACACTGTAGTGTCACTTATATGTTACGTGAATTTTTAAACTTTAAGTTATCTTTTGAATCTATCGCTTGTGCCATTCTGTTGTGACATTTAAATGTGGCGTTTAAAATTTTACAATACTGATAAATAAGTAGAGGCTATTGTTGCGAATCCAGTTTTGCCACTAAGTTTTGTCTACGACTTTATAATGTGTAACTTCATTGACTTTAAAATTTTTAATAGTAAAAACTTGTTTATTGAAAATTTCAGAACAGGTTTTGTGGAAGTAATAAAGAAAAATTTGTTTCAAAGTCGTATTACTATTAATGAACAAACACCAAATCTTCATCTAATTTAGAAATGTGACGTGATAAACAATAGAAAATAGAATTTTAAAATGCAATACAAGAAAAAGTGCGATGTGGAATCGATGCAGACTATGAGAAATTATACAGAATTCATATACCAACTTCTTATAAAATTGACGTGTTCCTAACAACTAACAACACGCTTGCGAAATATCTCATTTAAAATGCATCGCTTATAGATTTTATATGCTACCAACCTAAAGTGCATCGCACAATATGTCTGCGGCGGCCTTTACATTTCAGTGAAAATTTGAATTAAATAATAAAGTTATGTTTAAGACACATAGGAAAGGCTGCGGTGTATTTTCCGGTTTGTCTGTTACTGCCCCTCTGTCGGTGATTTTATTCTTCGAAACTACAAACCATTTTTGAAGTTTCCGGTGTTTTAAAAATTGTCATAATGTGTAGTGGAACTTACGGTTCAAATTTTAACACTTTGTAAAGTTTTGTAAGAGACATCTTCAGGAAATAAAAGACAAGAACGGGAAGTTTTGGAGAGAAGAGAGCGCCACTAAGGTAAATCTCTTTTCTGACAAGAAAAGACAGTGCGAAGATTTTTCTTGAAGCCGCTTTTTACGAAAGTGGGCGAAACGTCGAAACCCATTTCATAATTGATATGGTCCAAACCGGGACAATGTTTTTGTGCGAGTATTATTTATTCTTGCCGTTAAAGTCTTCGTTTCCATTTTACTTTTAACTGTTAAAGTTGCAGTTAGATTTTAAATTTACAGTAAATAAAAAACAAAGACAAAACCAAGCAGGTAATCATAAATACTAACTTCTGACGTCTCTTTTTATAGCATTTTTTTAATAACCAGCCTTAGTTCTGAATTTCGGAATAATAATGTTGCCCTAAATACCTGCAACTTATATTATAAACATTATAATGTTGTCTTTTATGGTATAGTAATGTGAAATTTTCGCATATTAAATTTTGTGAAAATATTGTCTAAAGATTAACGAAAGTTACATTTGTGTTTTTGTTTGAATGTATGAATGGTGATAACGATAATTTTAGTTATTTTAATAATTATTTTGACCTCTTATCTGAAACAGAAAAAATTTCGATTACGTTTTCTAAATTAAGTCGGTGACCTAAGAAAAGGGAAGAAAAATAATACGTATAACATATTTTTTGTATAGTAAACTGATCTATTTTATTTACATATGAATATAATCTTTAGAAATGAAGCGAAGGGGGTTTAAGCAACAACCTTGATAAACGCAACACTATTGTTGAGTCAGACTGTATGGCGTAGTGACTGCTTTATGATAGTCTGGCGTACAAATTATGTAACATGAAACGCTGTTTTTTTTTATAACAAACTTTAGTCACAAAAGTCCTTTAATAGTACATATATGTAATAATATGTTTCAGATGTTAGGTGTTGCCCAAATAGTGTTCGCACACGGAGTATTTTATTTACTTTTGCCAAATTTTATCATTTAAGGAACGGCAGTGGAGTTTTGAACCTTGGGGGTACGTCCAGAAGAAATTAATTAAAATAGTTACAAGAATAAAAATTGTAAAATTTCTCATACGAGTAACTAACTGTAATTGCCATCGTATTTTTAGTACAAATTTTCCAATTTTATTGTCAATATTTTCAAAATCCGAATGTTGCCGTTATAAATACAAAATGCCTAGTCGTTGTTTTGCAATATATTGCATAATTATGCAACAAGTTTTTTCAAGTGATGTGAAAATTATGAAATGATGTCTAAAATGTAGAGCATAGCTCTCAAAAAAACTCGCATAGTATTATCCTCAACGTTGTGGCTTTGTATGATTCGATTTAAGATTATGACACTTTAAAAAATGCGTTATAGAATTCTGCAGTAGTTAACAATATCCAGCACAATACAATGGATATGGGTTGTGGGAATTTTCCTAAAATAGCTCAACATGTCTGCTATTTTTATAGTGATGACCACATTTTTCGTTTGATGATCATTATCTTCTATTTTTTTTTTAATTCACAACGAATGCGTGTGATTATTTGAAAGGATTTTGTATCGCGATACTAAAAGAACCTCATATTTAAATTTAAAGGACAGCAAAATGAGAAATTTATGCACTTCGGTCTCGATGACATCATTGCAGGCATGTATTAGCATTTTAAATTGATAAACAGTTTGCTGTAATAGCCACTTCCACTTCATGTCTACCTATAAATATCAAAGTTAAGTTTGTTATTTTGGAGCATGTGTTACAGGATCTTACGTTTGTTATTATTTTTATGGAACGAATAACGATTTTTTAATTGCTTTCACACTGTTGTTTGGCGCTATCTCATATGGTTATAATTGTATAATTTTACGCGGATTGTAAATTGTCTATGATGTTTTCACAACAGTATTGAGTGAAATTAATTACGTGCTTTAATTTTCTGTTTTGTTTATTTACACTGTTAGCTTGTGAAGTTTTATAACTTGAGTTATTAAATATTAGGGAGCGTTTACAAAAGGGTGCGATTTATGACACTCGGACGTTAATTTTATAACAGTGACATTACGTGTTAAGTGAACATAGTCCGGAAAATTCTCATTAGCTGAAAAAAAGTGGTATGACGAGCAACAGCTGTTAAACATATTAAAATTATATTTGTACGGTAAGATAGAAACTACCGCAGGGTTTTATTCGTTTTAGTTAGTTATAAAATTATTTTCAGTGACTGCAGGTTATTCACATAAATGGGTAATTGACGGTTCTCATTGCATAAGTTTAGGCCATGCAAAACATGTTTTTGGCTAGTTTATGCTCCAGAAGTAAAAAGGAATCCAAGGTTTATGAATTCTGACATAATAAAAACTTTACAGATTTGTTTAATGTAATTTTTTTACACGATGAGTTTTAAATAAGCATTTTTTTCATAAATATTCTACCTTGCGTGCTGAGTGATAGACCGTTTTCAAATTATTCTGAACTATGTTTTAAAACGAATTTTAAA